CATGGGGAGGTGGGCATCCACAGGAGATGGGCAGCACTGGGAGATGGGCAGCACGGGGAGATGGGCATCCACAGGAGATGGGCATCCACAGGACATGGGCAGCATGGGGAGATGGTCCTGCCTGTCTGTGCCAGCTCCAGCTCCAGATTGCTCCAGAGCCCCATCCTGGGCTGGTCCTGCCTGTCTGTGCCAGCTCCAGCTCCAGCTCCAGCACCCTCCAAGCCCTGTCCTGGTCTCTCTGCACCTGCAGCCCTGGGAGCTGATCCTGCCTGTCTGTGCCAGCTCCAGAGCCCCATCCTGGGCTGGTCCTGCTTGTCTGTGCCAGCTCCAGCTCCAGAGCCCCATCTTGGGCTGGTCCTGACTTTCCGTGCCAGCTCTAGCTCCCAAACGCTCCAAGCCCTGTCCTGGGCTCTCTGCACCCGCAGCCCTGGCACATGCCCCTTCCAGCCCCGCAGCTGCAGGATTCCAGGGGCAGCTCTGAGATGCAGAAGGCCCTGGCACCCAGCGGGGCATGGGCACACACCGAGCGTTTCCCAGCTCCACCATGGGTGTGCCTGCAAGGCTTCCCTCACCCACCCAGCCTCAGGGTGGGAACACAAGCAGCTGTGGGTTTAAATTCACCTATGGCAAAACTGTCAGAGGTTTTACAGCCAGGGAAGGAAAACAGCCACAGTTGTCTGTAATACCCCTATTACAGCTCAACATCTCCAAATATCCATTTGTCAAACATGAATTATAAAGCTATAACATTTCATAATTCAGGACACACTCAAATCCTAGGAAAAATAGCTACAAGAGCCTAAATAAAAAAAAGCATTTATTCCATTTTTGACAGCTTAATGAATGCCCTACTCTTTTGCATTGATTTTTGTGTGTGTGTCTGTGTGTGCACGTGTGCCTGGGAAGGATTTCTCAGGGGGTTTGCTGTAAACAGGGAAAGCAAAATCCTATGCCAAGGCTTTTTCTACTTTTTAATAACCTCCATATTAAAATATTTCAGCAGAGAATGTATCTAAAACTACTGAGAATGCAAAAAGCAAAAAAACAACTACTTACATCCCAGTAAGCATACTGGAGGTTTGTTGAACAAGACATTAAACAATCCAATACCTCGGTGTGGCAAGAGAGTCCCGGACACAGCATATGTTAATTTCTCTTTCAGGAAATAACAGCAAATTCAGAAAGCATGGCCAGCAGAGCCCTAGAATCTAAAATTCAGGATTGATTCCAGAACACAGATTTTCCTTACATGCCTAAGGGCTCGCCTTGCAAGGCAAAATATGTTAAAAAAGCCTGCAAGCACCTAGAGACAGAAAAATAATGTATCATAAAGAGAACCGTGCCACTTGGAATTGCTGAACACTTTACATTGACACACTCTGGCCAGCTGGATCCCTGCTTTAATGGTTTTGCGAGTTCTTATCATAATGAACTCTATATAATTTAAATGGAGATTAATTCTTCCATTTAAAGTGCTTTGGAACGATCCTGCCCGAGATCCTGAGCTCAGCCCAGCCTCTCCCCATGCCTCCTCTCCAGTCCTCCCGCAGCCCTAAGTGGATCTGACAGATCCCTGCTCAGATAGCAGCCGCCTTCTCCCCCCAAAATGTTGCCTTTTTGCTATTCAGGAGTATCCTAATACCAACAAATGCTAAATGCAGTCTGACATGTCCCCCTAAGAAACAAACTTGTAAGTTGTGGCTTCAAAGCAGACCTTGAATAAATAGGACACGCTGTGTACACCCCGGCTAACATCCAACATATGCTCTGGCTTCCCGACGCTCGGGCAGAGCAGCAATAGCCTCTGGACAAGGCTGTGATTTGCTCTTGCTGGTGCTTCCACCGTTCCTGATGCACCATTTCTTTGTGGCTGTATAAACAATTTAAGGGATGTAATGAAGACGACCCCGGCGCGGTTGGGAACGCAGCGTCCCCATGAATTATGGATGGCTGGAGGTGCCACGGCCCCACCACGGCCCACACAAAGACAGGCACCCCTGGGCAGGGCTGCAGCACACAAAAATCAACCTAGACCCGGAGTGCTTGCAGCTCTTCCATCCCCTTGACAACTGTCATCATTAACAGCTCTCTATTCAACAGTTACAGAGACAAGGAATAAAGGAAAGTGAGGAAACAGGATAAAACTGCATTTAACAGCACTTACAGTTAAGACACTCCATCCTTAGAAGGCCAATTTATTGAGTCATTCTTTAGGGGAGAGAGAAGGGATGGACAGAGAAGAGAAAGATGTCACCTACTTTAAGACTTGTATTTGCCTTGCCATTATTTAATACTCTATTTTATGACTAATCTTTCTGAAAGGACTAAAACAAGTTTAATTTCACCACCCCCTCCTCTGCTTTCAGTTCTGTTCCCTCTCCCTTGGTGCTCCATCCCTCTGGATGTAGGGTGTGACAGTACATCACTAAAATTCAAGCACCACAACTTACAAGACCTAAAGGGAGCCTGCCGAAATGCTGTGACTTAAAGGGCATTTCCCGTGGCCAGAACACAGGTTAATTGATCAGGACAGAGCAGTTCATGTGCCCAGCCCCACGGAGCCCCGCTGCCCCACGGAATGCCCCACAGCAGAGCGACAGCAGCGAGCTGAATGGGGCCTGTTACAGCTGAATTAACACTCAGATGGACAGCCTTCACTCTGCACTAGCTGCAGCCCCAGAACGTGCATATCCTCAGTCCACTCAGAGAGAAAAAGAGGCATTTCTGCCGGGCTAAGGCTGGAAAAAGTCCCAGAGGAATGTAAACAATCTGTTATCTTGCTTTCCATTCACACTGTTTATAGAAATGTCCTACCACACTGACTTAGGTCCAGTGCACCAATCAGGTAAAATGGTTTTACTTTAAAACCAATGGAATTAATGTTCACAATGTTCTCTATAAAAGAGAGAAGTGCTTTTGAATAAACACTCAGTTTACCTTCTGAAATCATATCAGTCATTTCACCTGTCCCTGGCTCAACAGCATCATCAGAACACTCAGATGTGTATTATCAACTCACAGACTTCATCCCACCTTGCTCTTCAGGGAAAGGAAGGTTTGGTGGAGCTTGGAAAGCTTTTTAAATTTTAATTCAAAACAGCATTTCTCTACATTCTGCCTAAAACCAAGGATAACTAAGCTGTATCTTACAAAGAAAGCAAAATAAAGCAAGACAGATTTTTTTTTCCCTTTTTTTTCCCTATTTTACTCTTCCTTTCCAATACTGAGTGTGGGTGTGTTTCCCTCTGTTGGGATGGCACAAAACCTCCAGAGACATCTCTCAGTCACTCAGAGCCCTGCCCTGCCCATGTTTGCCATCAAAGCCCACCTAGCATCTTGATGCTGAATCTTTAGATATACAGCACTGTTTAAAACAATCATTCATGTAAGAAACATGAAGACCAATTTTAAGGCTATCCTGAAAGATGCATCTTTGGAATGCTGGAGTAGTAAATAGCCATGATACAGCCAAATTATTTATTTAATCAGAAAAAACTTCACTGGATTATAAATAGATTTCAAGCTATAGTGCTCTTATGAGAAGTGTAATTACAGTTAAGAGAACCACTTCGTTCTTCTGGCAGGCTCCTGGGATCCCTTAAAACAAGCTAAGGAGTAGCTCAGGATACGGAAAAAATAAATCTGAATTCCCTCTCTGTGTGCTGTGTATGCCAGGTCCTGGTACTGGGTACAAAAACCACCATGTAATCCCACAACTAATTTTGCTACATTTGCAAATTTTTCCCTCATTTCCTCCAGACCTTAAAAATAAGATAAAATGCAGCTTCTATCAGTAGTAAAATCAAGTAAACACCAGATCCATCCTTTAAATCCAACCCTCCTCCCAAACAAGATTCTGCACATACATACTCCCACACCTATACATGAAGTTTTAATTGATTTCCACACTGCTGGGCTCTGTCTGAGACACCTCCAATAAACAACACAAGCTTTAGCCTCATAAACCCCACTGGAGTCCAGCGTGTTTCCAGAGCTCTTCCCAGTCCAGAACCCCTTTGATGCGCTGATTAATTGTTCTAAATGCAGCTCTACAAAGGGAAAAGAATTCCCTTTAAAATCCACCTGTGTGAAGACCTTTCTGCTGCCCGAAGGTCAGAAACCACATCTCCAGCAGAACTTCACTAGCCAAGAAAAGCCATTGCATTTTCTCCTACACGCAGTAAGTCGCTGTCGTGAAAATAAAACTTATCTCCCAAACCAGCAATTCAGAGGCAAGTTGCATGCTTCAAGCAGAGAGCCAGTGCACAATCCCCAGGCTCAGAGCTGTGTTTTTAGCCCACAAGCAGAGCACAGAGCAGGCAGAGGCTGTCGGAACTCAAAATGTCCCTCAGACATTTTTAGAGGTTCCAGGCCTTGGTCGGAAGCATTTTAGACCCTGGCAAGCAGCAGAAAACAGCTGTGATTTTGAGTTTGAACCATGGAATGAGTTACCAACTTTAAAGGTGGAACAAGCGGTCACAGAGAGTTAGATAGTATAGTAAAAGTAGTCACAAATTAGAGGGTAAAATTTTTTAGTGTTGTACAGGGGGGTTTTAACACCTGTACAGGGGAGTTTTACTTTGTACAGGGGGGTCAGGAGTTCTAAGATGGAAGAAAGTAGGCCTGATCCTGTTCTTCCTCCTTCTTCTTCCTTACCTCCATGTTCTTAGTAATGTTAACATTTTTCTATTAGTTTAGGCTAAGAACACACTGTTCAGCGTAAATAATAGATATTGGCACATTATTATAAATATAGTACACGTAATTTCTGGTATATAATGTTTGTACCATCCCACTGAGGGGCAGAGCCCCGCACACTGCCCTGCAAGACAGACCTGCGGCAGGGCAGCAGAACTTGTTATAGATAAGCAAAAATAAACAACCTTAAAAACAGCACAAACGAACTATGGCTTCTTCTTTGGCAATGAGGCAAAAAGACAGAGACTTTCTACAATCTCAGAATCACCAACACCCACAAATTCCAACAAGAGGCCACGCACCGTCGTAGTAGACAATGGCTCCCACCAGCTTGTCCCGGCGCAGCATGGGGAACAGCTCCAGGGCCCGGGCCTTGGTCAGCACGTAGCTGCTCTTCAGGCACTGGCTGCCCGCCACCAGGTCATACAGCTTGATCCCAATCCAGTAGTAAGGCAACTGCCACCACCTGGGGGGAAACAGGCGTGAAGTGAGAAAAGCAAAACGCAGCGCCGAGGAGTGCGTGCACTCTGTTATTGCAGTACAGACACAGAACGTTCTTACAGCACTTCTGCCTTGTACAGCTGTACAAGCTCACGGTAACAAGACAGTGTAAATACTCCAGACTTAGGTGTTGTTTGCCACTGTTTTCAACTGAGCTACTCCCTGCAGCGAGTCAGGCACACACAAGGATTTGTTTGCTCCAAAATCAGGATCTAAAGGGGGCTGTTGTGCCTCTGTGTGAGACACTGGAGCTGTGTGTGCAGGCTGAGAGGATTCCCCCGAGGCAGGGTCTGTGATTCCTGCACAAACAGGACCACAGGAAATGCAGGCAGCCACTGACCTACACAAGCCACAGCTCTTACAAGCCCCTCACACTAATACAGGATAAACAGGAATGGTCTTAATAAAGTTAAGTTCCTTTAGCAAAACCTCCTTATTGTAAGTAGCCTGCTCCAGGGAGTAATTGCTCTTACAGACTGCAAACCCAACCCAAAGCACTGAGTGACTTCCTCAGAGGAGGAGGAACCTGTTCTGTGCACACCAAGTGCTCACAGGGACTGAGCAGCACTGTGCTGAGGACACAGAGCAGTGACTGCTGGCTGGGCACAGGAGACCTTTGTGCTCCTGCAGCCCAGCTGTTCCCCTGGGACAGCTCCGAGAAACCCCTCCCAGGCCAGGTTTGCTTGTGAGAAGCAAGGTAAAGGACAGAAGGCAGGGCAGAGCTTACTTGTAGATGGGCAGCATGATGGGCAGCGGGGCCGAGAGGTGGGGCGCGCTCTGCAGCAGGTGGGCACGCTCCTCCAGAGCCTCCTTCACCATCCTGTACTGCAAAACAGCAGCCAAACAGCAGCCACAGTCAGTGCCAGAGCACCCACCCTCCTCCAGAGCCTCCCTCACCATCCTGTACTACAAAACAGGACCCACAGTCAGTGCCAGAGCACCCACCCTCCTCCAGAGCCTCCTTCACCATCCTGTACTGCCAAACAGCAGCCAAAGAGCAGCCACAGTCAGTGCCAGAGCACCCACCCTCCTCCAGAGCCTCCCTCACCATCCTGTACTGCCAAACAGCAGCCAAACAGCAGCCACAGTCAGTGCCAGAGCACCCACCCTCCTCCAGAGCCATCTTCACCATCCTGTACTGCCAAACAGCAGCCACAGTCAGTGCCAGAACACCCTCCCTCACCATCCTGTACTGCCAAACACAAGGTCAGTGCCACAGCACCCACCCTTGGCACCAGGGCAAGCACTCAATAACAGATTTATCCAAGAATCAACGCCTGCCACCATTGTCACTAGGCTTTCACACTGCGATCTGCTGAGAAACCCAAAGGATAAGGGAAAGATGCCCAATACAATAAAGTTGTGGTGGTTTGATCTTGGCGTCTTGGCAGCACAATTGCACAAGTTTTCATCTGAACACAGAGCTCCTGCCCTAACGAGGGGCAGGAGGCACTTGAGGAGGGCCAGGACTCATCCCACAGCACAGCTCCGTGCCAGTCGCCACAGCTCAACCCCTCTGAACTCCGAGCTGCAAATGCAGAAGGTCTCTTCTCCAAACCAACCAATAATGTCCATCAACGTGGGGGTGTTCTCTGCCAGGAAAGGTGGGTTTCTCTACGTGGGTATTTCCCTCTGAAAAATCACCATTCCTGCAGCAGCATTCCAACCACTAAAACATACTTTGATGGGCTCCAATGGAAAGACAATGTGATTCTTCAAAACAGGATTATCAGGCTTCCACCCACAAAAAAAATGCACAAAAGCATTTATAAACTATCACTCATTTACCGTATTTTATTTCCCCATGCCAAAATAAATCACTCATTTACCATCTTTTATTCCCTTATTCCAAAATAAGTCGCTCATTTACAATATTCTTCCCCCATTCCAAATTAAATCAGTCATTTACCATCTTTTCTCTCCCCATTCCAGAACAGAACAGCCACTCACTCCCCCCAGTTCATGACATTACCAGTCACTTTTAATTTGATTTGATTTTAAGCTCTTTCTGTTCCAAGATCAGCCCTGTCTCTGCCTCTCCCGAAACCCAGGGCATGGCAATGACACTGCCCACCAAAGCAGAGGAAAGGTCCCCAGAGAAAACACTTGCCATGTGGAACACAGCCCTGCAGTCCAGCACTGGAAAGCTCAAAAGGACACTCAGCTCACACTGGGACAGTGAGGTACCTACCAGCACAGACAATTACCTGCTCGAAATCCAGCTTCATGATGGCCTTCTGCAGGTACCTCACTCCACCATGGATCAATTTAGTGCTCCTGCTGCTGGTCCCCGATGAGAAATCATCTCTTTCTAGAAGGGCTGTTTTTAGTCCTGTGTTACCAGAAAACCAAATTAACTTCTTAAATTACACAATTTGTATGTAATTCATTAAAGACACTTCTCTAGGGTAGAGACAATCAGAAGAAAAATTACTCTGTACATGGATAAATTTGTATTCAAAGTGTAGTGCACTGTCTATATTGTAATGAAAAATTTTAGCCTTCTTCCTGAGGGAAAAGTCAAAGCAGAACTTAAACAGCAGCACATTAAAAGCTGGGTATTTCACAGTGGAAAGGCATTACTGCACATTACGGGGCCACGCTCCCCAGGGAAATGACAGCTTGCATGCCTGGCAGGAACAGAGGGGCTCCATGGACACTTTTAACCCTTTGCAGCACAGAGCTCTAAACCTCTTCACTAACCATTGGAGTGGCATTCCAGAGAGGGAGACAACTGGCAGCTTACTTGGAGTTTGCCTCAGAGGTGCCCAAACCCAGGGCAGAGCCACAGAGCACGCTTGGAATTCTGACATTCAGGGAACATCCTGGTCAGCCTTAACCACTGAATCCCTCAGGCTGGAAAAGACCTCCAGGATCCCCAAGTCCAGCCAAGCTCCAGCCCCTCAATGTCCTTTTGTCAGGAGGGACCCAGAACTGGACACAGCACTCGAGGGGCCTCAGCAGTGCCAACACTGAGATTTGAGCATCTACCGGTCTCCCAAAACTTTTATGTCCTTAAAAAAAATCTAATTATTACTGGTAACTTATAAAGATCAGAGCAATTTATTTTTGTCGAATGTGACTGAAGATTAATGGACACAATCAGAAATAATTTGGTGAAGATTTATCAAACACACGAAAAGCAAAATTTGTTGTTAAGCAAAGCAAACACGATAAAAGAGCAAGTTCCATGAATGAACAGCAACGAGACACAACTCATTAACCAAATGCCCGTGAATATTTCACACCTCAGAGACCTACTGATATAACCAGCATATCCAAGAAAAGGATAAACAGAGATTAACTGTAATAATTTCTGTCTGCTTTACGACTGCATTTCCAGCCAAAGCAGAGCAGAGGCAGAAGTGAGGAGATGTTTGTCCCATGTTATTAAATACACCAACCAGGCTGGAGTTTGGACTTATCTCCCTGTGGTCAGTCCCTACTGCTTTGTCCATTTCCTATTACCTCCCCTGCTGGATGAGTGTTTCCCAGCTCCACCTGAAAGGCTCTCCTGGGCCTGGCTCTCCTGGGCCTGGCTCTCCTGAGCCTGGCTCTCCTGAGCCTGGCTCTCCTGGGTCAGGTTTTGCCCCTGTTTCTGAGGTCCATGTGCAGGTTAAGGAGCTGAGAACCCCAGGGCTCTCTGCTCTGGCAGCTCCCCAGAGGTGGGGCAGCAGGAGCACAGATCTGTGTGACCCCACAGGGTCCTTTTGCTTCTGAGAACAGAGGTTTCCCAGCCAGGACAGCCATTCCTCTAGCTCTGAGCCCTTCAGGAAGCCAGTCTGAGAAGTTCATTATAAGCCAGGTGAAACGCGGATGAAAAATTAAAACTCTACAATTCTAATATAGATTTATAGGGACAGTCTGTTTTTATTACAGCGCTGGGCGCACGCAGGGACTTCTTTTTAAAGGGCATGTGCACTCTTGAGAACTTCTGATCTTTTTTAATTACTTTTAACTAATTTTTCTATGTATAGAGTTTTACAATAGGTTCATGTATATCCATTCTGTTGATTTCGCATTAAACTTACAGTTAGTTATACTTGTATTTAGTTTTTGTTAGAAAGTACAGAAAGAACTCCTGGGTCACTCTGTGTTGGTTGTTTTAAGGTCTGAGGAGTCTTTCTCATCTTTTATTTTTCTAGTGTGGAGATTTGTATTTTTTCTCTTTATTTAGGGCAACTTTGCTAGTGCTGCAGTTACTAGACTAAACTGTATTTTACTCATGTTAGTAAGCTCCGAGTGGCACATTGTACCTACATCTCAGTGGATTTCTATCTGTAAATTTGTGGGAATCCAGGGCTTCCCTCTGGCTGCCCTGGCAGGTCTGGGACCCTGGCAGGGGTCAGGAACCCCCCTGGACACAGCCCCAAGAGACACTGCCTGTGATCTCTGTCCATGGAGAGGAGTTTTCAATCCTACAGGATGAATTACAAGCTTTGAGTGTTTGATAAGAGTAATAATTAAGTGTGGCACGGGTGCAAAAGTAAAATTTTAGATTTCTAGATTAGGGGTTCAGAGGGGACAAGATGGAGGAAATTGGGTGTGCCTTGTCCTTTTTCTCCTTCTTCATGCCCTCCATGTTTCACTGTGGTGTTGGCATTTTTCTGTTGGTTCAGGCTGGGGACACACTGTCCAACGTAGGTGACAGATATTGGCACGTTATTGTAAATCCAGCACAGGTAGTTTGTGGTATTTAATGTTTGTACCATCCCACTGAGGGCAGAGCCCCACACGCTGCCCTGCAGGACAGAGCTGCGGCAGGGCAGCAGAACATGTTAGAGATAAACAGAATAAACAACCTTGAAACAGCACAGACCAATTATGGCTTCTGCTTTGGCAGCGGGGCTGACAGACAGAGACTTTCTACAATCTGGGAATCACCAATACCCACAGATTCCGACATAAATTCTCACTGTGTCTCCCAGCACCCAGGAGGAGGTGCAGCTGCAGCTGCAGGCGCTCACCCACCTCTGGTGGCTGCATCCAGGGCACAGCCGCAGCCCGTGGCTCCCCCGCCGATGACCAGCACGTCGAACTCCTCGCCGCTCTGCAGGGCCAGCAGCTGCTGCTCCCTCGTGGGGAGATGGTCCTTCCTCGCTGGAGCACCCTCTGCAGCCTGCACCTGCACCAGGGCACCCTGCAGAGAGAGGGGAGCACAGCCTGTGAGACCCCTTTGGTCTGTACACACAGCCCCCAGCACAGCCTCTTCTGGAGCCACAAAGGCAAACTCACTCATTCCCAGTGCTCCCCCACATTCAGCAATCATATCGTGTTAAACGCTGAGGAGCAAACAGTTCTAAAGCCGTGAAGTGCTGCCACACCTTTACTTCACCTTGCCCACCTCAGTGTAACACTGCACTGAGCGTTACTACCTGTATTCATTACTTCCAGCAGCTCCCAAATGTTACAGGATGCTGTCATTACTTTAATAAACATTACAAAGGAAGCATTTTAATTAGCAGACACATGGCTGAGCTCTGGACTCTGTACCAAAAACTTCACCACAGCCAAGGACGCTGAGCTGAGTGTACATTTTACATCTCATGCAGCGGCATTAATCCAAGCTCAAGTTTAATGAGCTTCAGGAGTGATGTGATTGTAAAGTGCAGTCCACTGAAACACCAAAGAAACTCTAATTTCACCTCCTTTTTGAGAAGCTTCTAAGCAATGCAGTTTATGTCCTACAGCTGGTGAAAATACAACGTCCAAGTGACAAAGCTCAACAAGGTGGCAGTTTCCAGACAAGGTCCCATTTTCCTGGAACAGCCCTGGGAATCCCTTTGGGCTGATATTCCCAGAGCCAGTGATGCTGTCTTTGGGCTGATGCTCAGTCACCTACCAGGGACCATGGCCTAAGTGGGAAGGGTTTCAGCAGTCTCTAAAGGCTCACTGCTGTTAACATCAACTTAAGCTGAATTCTAAGCATTTCCAGACTTTCTTGAGAATTATAAACACTTTGAACACTTTGAAAACCTGTTTAACCCTAATTTAAGACCTAATTTAGGCCCAGTCTCCAGGCCAAATGGCAGACTTAACTATGCAGAATAGCTTCTGCCCAGATCTCCCAGACAGGAAAGAGCAGACTAATAAAAATTCAAGTGACAAACCACAGAAACTCCTTTCCAGCCAAGCACAAAAACCCTCAGTTCAGATTATATGGTGCATGCAGCCTAAATATTTTTGTTCAGAATTATTTGCTCATTCCTCAGCAGTATCATGATTTAAATGCATTAGTCCTGTGTCCCTCCCTCCACCACAGAGCTGAAAATAAAATCTAAAAACTAGTAGCCATGACTCAAGGAAGTGCATATTCCAAAGATAATTAATGGCCACGTTCACCCTGCAATCAGGGATGATACTGACTGTAATGCAAGGAGCTCGTGAAAATCACTTAGGACAGCAGCAACCACTGTCACTGCTGTGTGGTACAATGCAATCCGTGGGGAAATCGGGCTGGAGAGTCCTCCACCTCATCCTGAGGGTCTAACGAGGTCCTGGAGCTGCTCCAGGGCTGGAGCCCTCTGCTCTGGAGCCAGCCTGGGAGAGCTGGGGGTGCTCACCTGGAGAAGGGAAGGATCCAGGCAGAGCTCAGAGCCCCGGGAATGTTCCCCTGGAGAAGGGAAGGATCCAGGCAGAGCTCAGAGCCCCGGGAATGTTCCCCTGGAGAAGGGAAGGATCCAGGCAGGGCTCAGAGCCCCGGGAATGTTCCCCTGGAGAAGGGAAGGATCCAGGCAGAGCTCAGAGCCCCGGGAATGTTCCCCTGGAGAAGGGAAGGATCCAGGCAGAGCTCAGAGCCCCGGGAATGTTCCCCTGGAGAAGGGAAGGATCCAGGCAGAGCTCAGAGCCCCGGGAATGTTCCCCTGGAGAAGGGAAGGATCCAGGCAGAGCTCAGAGCCCCGGGAATGTTCCCCTGGAGAAGGGAAGGATCCAGGCAGAGCTCAGAGCCCCTGGCAGGGCCTGAAGGGCTCCAGGAGAGCTGGAGAGGGACTGGGGTCAAGAAAGAAAAAACAAGGCTAATAACAAATCCCAGTTTTTCCCAAGCATGGTGTCCCAGCCCATGTGGGGCACCGGGCGCTGCAGGGAGCGCTCCCCCAGCTGTGCCAGCTGTGCCAGCTGTGCCAGCCCAGCCCCAGCTGCAAGCACAGCAAACTCTGCCCATGACCCGGTGCCCACAGGCAGAGCAGCCCCAAACACGGCACTCGGGGGCTGGGAGCAGAGAGGTGAGCCCCGAAGAGCCCCCAGATCACCGGAGCTGGGACAAAGTCTGGGAGCTTCAAAGGAACCCAGCTGCCCCTTATCCTTCTGGCCATGGAATTCTGCCTGTCCCCACGTCCTCCTGCCTCCTGCCCTGCTCTCTCGCTGGCCCTGGCGGCTCTAGCACTGCTATAAAACTTTTACATCCCCAAAGTACAATAAAAACATAATAGAATCCCAGAAGGGTTTGGGTTGGAAGGGACTTTAAAGGCCACCCTGGCACTGCCAGACAGCAGTGGCAAGCAGGAAATTGGGAACACTAAAAACACCCTATCTTGTACGTGTTTTGGCTGATCAATCTCAGCCACATCAGCTTTCACCACCTCTAGAGAAGGAAAATCCCCACCTGCAAATTTAATTTGCACTACATTTCCTGAGACATTTCCAAGCCTACTACTTAACTTCAGGAAAACAACAGAACACCAGAAAAGAGAGATTTGGAGTTCAAGAAATACTGGCATCAGGTGGGTTTGACTCCATGTCTAGGTTTGTTTTTAAAGCCATTATTTACAACAAATGGCTCCTAGCAGAGCCCAGAGCAGAGTCCCCAGCATCCAGCCCCTGCTATAGCCAGAGTGTGGAGATTAGCCCTGGAATATAAGCAGAGTGATTAGTACCAGGAATTGATATAGATATGATGCATCTTGCTGTCAATTAAATGGGGGAGTGAAGAAAAGCTGCACACAGGGATTCCATCTGCAGTAACGTGATTAGTTTGGCAGTGAACAAGTGTGTTTACTGAAATAAGCAATTGCTGTTTATATCTACAATTTCTCAGGCAAGAGTTCCCTGAATGGTTTTGATTACACTCTTAGTGAGAGGAATTTAGTTTGGCAGTTTGAATTTAATCATCAAGTTATAAAGTGATCTAGTAATCCATAATCCAGTGCTCTTGTTAATTTGCTACTGTAAATCTCCAGGTAGGTTTGCAGAGTCAAATTCATCATCCTTATTCATTTAAACAACAAAATGCAGTAATTAGAACTCCCCAAAGCAGGCCCTGATGCATTATCATATTATCACACTATTGGATTCACCTTGCTGAGCAATTTCTACTGACCAACAATGCAGACACACACCAGGAAGAGCAGGACTGGGAAAGGACAGCAGAATCCTACAACTCCAACCCAAAGCACTTTCCCCTTAGTGGTCCTGAGGGGAGAAGTCTCCAGTTCTGGCAGAGCCCACAACACCCTGTCTCACACCAGCCTGCTGAGGCTGATGCACGAAATACAGCCCCAAACCAGAATGCAGAATGCAGCCAGGAAGCTGGAGGATGTGGTACTGCCAGCTCTGTGTCCCATCAGCGCTGGGAGTGCTGGTGAAACAGCCAGCAGGGGCTCACTGTGCCACCTGGGCCCTGCAGGTGCCTTTGTTCCAGGCCAAACCACAGAACCCCAGACTGGTTTGGGTGGGAAGGGACATTAAAGCATCCAGTGCCACCCCTGCCATGGCAGGGACACCCCCACTGTCCCAGCTGCTCCAAGCCCTGTCCAGCCTGGCCTTGGGCACTGCCAGGGATCCAGGGGCAGGGCTGGAATCAGCTTTAAGGCTCCTTCCAATCCCTACTGTGATGGGACTCAATGACTCAATTCCAGTGGCATAAATGTGACCCAAAATGTCCACAGATGCGTGTGCACAGAAAGATTAGTTGGGATAAAAGCAACAGTGGTTCTGTGATTTTGAGACCATGATCACGCTCTGTAAAACATGGGGTTTAATCTGTTTCTGGAAGCTCATAGTGGCCATCCATCCCCAGAAAAGAGGAATTCCCTGAATTCTGGAGTACTGCAGACAAAATACAACAGGTGAGCCCTCCAGGTGACTTTTCTCTTCTAGCTTCTCTTATTTAGCAGTCCTAAAAGCTGCAGCTGCCATTTCTGACAGTAATGAAGCCAGGCTGTAAAACCCTGGGATAAAGACTCTAGAGAGAACATTACCAGCTTGGAGCAAGGCAGGCAGCCCGATGGGGAGCTGACTTGAAATGCTGGGGTTTATTTTCTGCAACAGTATCTGAAGCCATAAGAATCCTGCCTCATCTACTTCCCAGCTTGGCTCCCCAGAAATGACTCATCTCATTCCCAGCTGCTCCTCCTCCTCCTCCCCACAGAAAGGGCCAGAGAAGGGATTTAAAGACCGTTGTGGATGTGGCACCTGGGGACATGGATCATGGTGGCCTTGGCAGTGCTGGGGGAATGGTTGGACTGGGAGTCTTGGAGGAATTTACCACCCCAAACAAGTGCATGGTGCAATGACCAATTCGGGAGCTCAAGAGCACGGCCACTGCAGCCCTGCTGGGAGGAGCAGACACCCAGGGAAATCTGCTTTCTCCAGCAGCAAGGGAAGGCATGCCCCGTCCCCTGGGCACAGCCCTGCAGGGCCCACCAGAGGCCACAGGTGCTGCCCCACACCTGCCTTGGCACAGCTCCTGTCCCCAGCCCCAGGGACCTGCCCCACACCTGCCCTGGCACAGCTCCTGTCCCAGCCCCAGGAACCCACCAGGAGCTGCCCCACACCTGCCTTGGCACAGTTCCTGTCCCCAGCCCCAGGGAGCTGCCCCACACCTGCCCTGGCACAGCTCCTGTCCCCAGCCCCAGGGAGCTGCCCCACGCCTGCCCTGGCACAGCTCCTGTCCCCAGCCCCAGGGACCTGCCCCTGCCCCACGCCTGCCTTGGCACAGCTCCTGTCCCAGCCCCAGGAACCCACCAGGAGCTGCCCCACACCTGCCCTGGCACAGCTCCTGTCCCAGCCCCAGGAACCCACCAGGAGCTGGTACCAGCACTGTGCTGAGGATGGGCTGCTCAGAGGTAGTGCTGGTGCTTTCACTCCCAGCTCCTCAGCTCGAAAACACTCTGCAGGCAGCGCTTTTACTTCAGTCAGGTCTTTCCACTCCTCCTGCAACTAAGTAAAGCCCCCAGTGGCAGCCAAAGGTCATTTTTTTAAAACTATTTGTACAAGCCTGACATATGCTGTGACAGATTTTAAGTTTCCTATTTTATCAAAAATCATAATTAATACTTACGTGTTTGTTTCTATACTGAGAAAAATGAGAGAGGCCAAAAACTGTTGCTATGGCACCTCCTCCAATGAGAGCAGTTCCTTTCACTGCCTTCTGAAATGCCATTTTTTACTGGAAGAAAAGAAGATAAAAATTAATTGGCAGTTTTACCATGTCAGGATCTGGTACACGCAGAATAAACTATTTGAAGGAACTAATGACAATGTTGTGACAAGTTGAAATTTAGGGTAGCAATGTTTTAATTAGAGATTTTCACTACAATATTAGTAACTTCTAAACAAAGTCTAGACAGAGGCAAGCCAGAGTGCTCTGGTGTTTGCTGAGAAAGCTGAAGGATGGAAGAGTATTCAGATCAGAGTGGATACACACAGCCCACAGTGACCCTGAGTATGTGACAGGTACTGCCAGTCCCACGGAAAGGCAGACCAGGAACAGCCTGTCTGCAGTCCCAGGGCCAGCAAACCCTCACCCCAAGAGCACAGCAGAGCAGGGCAGCTGCACACAGCTCTGCAGCTCCCTGCCCATCCCATGCATGCCCCGTGCAGTCCCTGCAGCCTTGCAGGCAGGAGCTGCCCGAGCCCAGCCCGTCCTACCCGGGGCACAGCAGCAGCAGCAGCTCAGCGAGACGCAGGGCACACAGGGACAGCACAGAGTGCGCTTTACCACCCAGCCCAGGGCTTTGAACCAGCCCTATGTGGGTCAGGCAGACTCTTAACAGGCCCAGGGTGCGCTCCTGAATGACAAATTTCCAGGGGACTGACCGGAATGTTAAGCAGGCCCAGCCCGCTCCGTCCTCCGTCCTCCCTTGGGGACAATATCCACCCATCTGGGGACACCCCCACACGGGCACACCCATCCTGGCCACACTGCCCGGCAGCCCCAGGCAGGGTTTGGCACCAGCAAGGCCTGAAACAGGGGCAGAGCGTGTGTGCAGCCCTGCACCAACGCCACAGCACCAGCGATGCAGCAGGCAGGGCAAGGAGCAGGGAGTGCCCAGGGCCAGGCTGGGCACAGCGGCACCGGCAGCCTCCATGGGGTCTGTCAGAACACCAACACACACCAGGGCTGGCAGGACACACACCAGGGCTGCCAGGACACCAACACACACCAGGGCATGTCACTGAACTGCTCCTGTACCTGCACACGCTGTACATGGAATCATGGTGCCAGGCTGGAACACCTCAAAGGAAGGAATTCCTCCCTGGGACGGTGGCCAGGCCCTGGCACAGGGTGCCCTGAGATCCCTGGAGGTGCCCAAGGCCAGGTAGGACAGGGCTTGCAGCAGCCTGGCACAGTGGAAGGTGTCCCTGCCCACGGAATGAGATGAGTTCTGAAGTCCCTCCCAATCCAGACCTTGGCCTCATTCCCTGAGCACCTTTCCTGCAGCACACTCAGCGTGGGGGACATTCCCCACACAATTTCTGGTGCAGGCATTTGATGCAGAGCGGTTTTGTGTACAAACTGTGTAAGGGATCATGTACAGAAGGCCAATACTTGCAGCTTCCCACAAGTTTTTCCAAAGAGGGGCATTTATGCTCTTGGAGACTCCCACCATGACTGCCTTTCTTGTATCACATTTTCCATTTACTTCTTACTGTGGTCGCAAAAAAAAAAAGATCAGCTTCATCTTTCCTTTGTGCTGTGGCAGGAAGGAGTGAAAGGGAAAGGTGACAGGCAAACCCCAGCAAAGAAAGCTCCAGGGAGGGAAGCAACTGTGGAGGTCCAGCCTCAAACACCACAGCACCTCTGTGAAAACAGAGAGGAAGACCATGGGCAGTCAGAAAGTTGTATCACAAAGTGGAATCCGGGAAAGCACAGTTGGAAGAGCAGCTGGAACATCCAGGAGGAGCAGCTGGAACATCCAGGAGAGCTCAGGAACATTCAGGAGAGCTCAGAACTGGAAGAGCAGCTGGAACACCCAGGAGGAGCAGCTGGAACATCCAGGAGAGCTCAGAACTGGAAGAGCAGCTGGAACATCCAGGAGGAGCAGCTGGAACATCCAGGAGAGCTCAGGAACATCCAGGAGAGCTCAGAACTGGAAGAGCAGCTGGAACATCCAGGAGAGCTCAGGAACATCCAGGAGAGCTCAGAGCAGCTGGAACATTGCTGTGGCCATCCCCACTGAAGGAGCTCAGGTGGCAGCACCCTCCAAGTGCCAGTGCCAGAACACAACATTCCAGGGAGCTGAGAAGGAACAAATCAGCATCTCACACGTCTGCAGAGGTGCTGCCTTCGTGCCCTTTCCATGCTCTATGAGCTCAGGAGGAAGGCTGATGGATGAAGCACAGTCCCTGCTCAGAACCAGGGTTCCTGCAAGCACAGACAACACTCAGACCTGCTTCTTGTCCCCTGGCTTGGACCTCTCCTGAGACTTCATTTTGGACAGCAGGGACACACCTGCCAGTTACAGCATTCCTTTCCATGAATTCGAGCACAAGGAACACAAACCACTGATGAGGGAGCTCAGTGACTGCCACCTGAGCCCAGTGGTGGGACACTGGACATGCCACAGGGCACACCCGCAGGGAGCACCTCCAAAGCCAGAAAGGACTGGTGGCTCCGTGCAGAGGATTGCTGGCCTCAGGGCTCCCTGCTCCTTGCCCTGGGCGTGCTGCATTAGCTCTCCCCAGCGCTGAGAGCCGATTACAGACAATTCTCCCGAGAAAGGAACTCTCCCCGCAGACCGGCTGCTCAAATTGCCACATCAATCTTGCTCACCACCCCTGAGAGAAGCTTATTCAGGAGAGAAAGGAAAAAAGGGCTTAGCATAAACCACTCCAGCACAAAGCCAGACAGGCATTCCAACCAGACTGCGCTTTTACACCTGGAACAGCTCAATTGCATCTCCAGAACCACGAGGCCACATCTGTGAGGTGGGAGTGGAAGTGTTTGGATGGGGCTGGGTGAGCTCAGGGCATTGCAGCTGGGCACCAGGCTGCCCCAGGCTCTGCCCCGGCATGGCACAGCCCCAGTGCCTCCCAAAGGGAACGGCCCTGCAGGCAGCAAACGGCACACAAGGTCTGTGTGGAAAGGAGGACGACCTGACCGCTGCCTGGGTGGCCACAGGAGAGGAGAGGCTCTGATCAGACGCTGGTGGGCTTTTCCCCAGCTCTGTCCCTGCTGAGGAAGGCTGCTGCCAGCTCTGAGCAGGATGCACCCGAGTGCAGGTGAAAGGAGAAGGGATGCAGTCCATGTGCTTCCCACCAAGGCTGCACCAGGGAAGAGCCCTCACACACAAACCCCTCCTCTTTCATCAGCAGGTACTGAAACCTGCCTCTCTTCCGAGCTGAGATCAATACCTTCTGACAGAAATGGGATTTTATTTTAATGAAAATTATAATAGCAACCAGCATGAGAAGCACTGCAGTCAGGAATGTCATCTTTCCATCACGCAAATATTCTGAATCACCTTTAAAAGCGGCTCAGAGTGTTTTAGTGCTGTCAGTGCCATCTGACACAGTAAATCTGCATGTTAAGCCTTACCCTTGATTTCAATAGAAGCCATAAATGGACCTTTGGACCCATGGCCTCACCTGGAGGGTGGGCTGAAGTCCCTGACAGGCTCTAGAACAAGCTGTGGCAGGAGCAGGAGCCCTTGGCTGGCGTGGGCAGCGCCAGGAGCACGTCACAAGGAGTAGCAAGTGCACAGAGTGATCTGTCCAAGGAGTTCAATAACCCCAGGGAACAGTTTCGGGAACAGCTGAGCGCTGCTGAAGATTCAGAGGGACATTAGCTCCAACTGCTATTAAAGGACTCATGATAAGAAGAAACAGACTTTAAACTTAAAAGGACACAAAAGGGCGGGGAGAGCAGTCTACACAAAATGGAAACTACACAAAAGATTTATCAGCACAAGTTCCTGCTTTCAATTTCCAAAAGTTAATACAAACCCTAGTCACAGTAGGAAGTCCTTGGTGCCTTCCTTAACCATTAGTCACTCTCACTCGGGCTGCAGGAACATGAACAGCCTCCTCCAGAGGAGTCTCCCACCCCAGACCCAGGCTGGTGACCAGCTCCCCGCCTCGGTGAGGTCCCCAGGAGACCCTCCCTCCCCAGGTATCAGACCTGGACCTGCTGCGTCAGAGGTAATTGTCCACTTCAGCAATTAATGCACCCCTTCCACTGCTTTGCTTCCACCCCAACACCTGCAAGGTACCACTTACACCCTGGTTTTTAAAGAAGGGACTCCAACAGCCGTGGCTCTGCACAGCGCATCCCTCATGACAAACCTCTGCCACCCGAGCCCTCGCCAGGCTGGCACAGCTCCTGGCAGTGACCTGTCCCCCTTACTTCCCGGCTGCACACTATTGTCTGGATGCTCCTGGGCATTGTGCAACCCATCCCACCCGAGGCAGCGCTTCTCTGCTCAGGTACGTTCTAACCACAGAGGTACGGGGCTGGGGCTGCCAGCCTGTGGCCAGGGCTGGGGGAAGAATGAAAGGCCAGAGGGAAGGGGAAGGGTGGGAGCCCAGCCCCACACCATGAGCTGGAGAGCGGAGCAGGATGTGTGCTGCAGCAGAAGTGGGGCACAGATGGATGGAGGCGCCGCAGCAGCGAGAGCGCTGCCATCAGACACGGCTCTGGGACGCACAGCCGGGAAATTGGGAGGAGAAACCCAATCTGTTGTGTTGCACATCCCTGAGCCTTGCGAGGCCATTACCATGGAATCCGGGCGCTTCGCATTCCACTGACAACGAACACGTCTAATAAAGTGACTCACTCCGTGCAAGGCTTAAAAATAGAAAACTTATAATCATCTCCACTACGCTTTGCATAACTTGCCATGGGCGCAGGAACATTGTCTAATCCCTTCCTTCCCAAAGCTCCTCAGGTAAGTCTGGGATGATGAGAGGCTGATGTCCCTCCGGGCTGAGCTGAGTCCTGCCTCTCCAAACAGCTGCAGTGCTACCCCAGCCGCCTCCAATGCAGCTCCCATCCCTCTGCAGGACTGCCCCAAGGTGGCCACGGTGACAGCAGCAGCCAGGCCGGTTAAGCTCTGACTGGGGCTGCTTTCAGCCTTTAAAGCCCTACTGCTGCTCCCGGCAGTTTCAGGTTGTGGCAATGCAGGAAGCGGCCAGCTAACAAGGAAAAGGGGATGTAGCCAGAAAATAGCCCAGTTGTAGCACCCTCTTAAGCAGGTCATCTAGCAAGCTGTCTCTGTGTGCCTTTGGATGTCACATTAACCAAAGCAGCTGGAAAGAAACTGAATAAAGCTTAACCCAGCCCGAGCTGGAGATGTTTCCCCTGCAAGGCAGATGTCTGGTGAGGAACAGACCCCAAGGAAGGGTTCCAGAGGGTCCCACCACGGCTGACACAGCGCCGACACAGCACGGACACATCCACCCTAACCCTAACCCTAACCCTAACCCTAACCCTAACCCTAACCCTAACCCCTAACCCTAACCCTAACCCTAACCCTAACCCTAACCCTAACCCCTAACCCTAACCCTAACCCTAACCCAACCCTAACCCTAACCCTAACCCTAACCCTAACCCTAACCCTAACCCTAACCCTAACCCTAACCCTAACCCTAACCCTAACCCTAACCCTAACCCTAACCCCTAACCCTAACCCTAACCCTAACCCTAACCCAACCCCCTGGAGCCTCCCTGCCCGCTCTGGGCTCCCCAACACAAGGTAGGCACTGCAATTAAAGTCATTATCCAAGACCACCTCTCCAGGCAAGCACAGGAACACAACCTGCGGTACCCAGACAGCTCACAGGGTCACCTCACAGCTGTGTAAGTCCTGCACACAGATTTTAAACTCCCAATCCCCCAGGCCACCCTGTGCTGGTAAGTGGAAGCCAAGCAGCACTTCACCATATGGGGAAAGTCCTTCCCATGCTCCAGTACAGGCAACCAGCTCGGCTCTCAAGCCCAAAAGTGGTCGCAGCACTTGTCAGGCACAAAAACAAAGGAGAAACAAAGCAGAAAATAGGTATCTTATCCTCACTCCTCCTCTTGGTCCTCCTGCTTCCAAATACTTCATCTGCCTTCTGCACCCAGACACCAAGATATTCCCACCTACTTCAGATGACAGAACAACTGCTGTGAACTCTGTCCCACCAGGAACAAACTTTTTTAGCTCCTCTTTCAAGCGTCCAGTGTTTCGATTTAAGCCTAACCACTTCTTTTTCTTCTGCTTCATTACCCTCCCACTTTACAGATGATGAGTGGAAAAGTCCTCCGTGTAAATCCTTCTCAGAATTTCAATGGCAAGAGTCTTGCCACAGATACCAGCATGCTTCTGGGAATGAGGCAACACTGAGACAGGGATGGCTGCAATCCCAACAACTGGATCTAAGGACCAACAGGAATACAAAGAAACTCCAATGTCACAGGCATTTTGAGCGTTCCCAGCATACAAACATCACAATATACTTATCAAATCCTAGATGAAAGCATTTCAATTCCCTCCTGTCCTGCTGGAAGGATCTCCTGCCTGATCACTGACTAATGTGTGCAGGATGATTTCCATACTTTTGTGTTCTTGTGCCAATGGTTTTTTAACTTAAACTTCTCCAACAGTCACTCTGCTTTCAGTGTTGGTGAGGGTTCATATCAACCATCAACCACACACGCAATACAATGACTGTAAGCCAGTTACTCCCACTAGAAAGAAATGCTCTTGTCAGATATGGTTAATTTATAGCTGTTTCCCATATTTTTAAAATATTCTTCATTCCCCTCATTTTTAATGTGGATATTTGAATAGACAGTCTGCCAGTTCAACTTGATCCCAATGCTGGTTCTTCCTTCCACTCCCTAGCCAAAGACTCAAGGAGCAGGGGTTAGAAAACCAGGTGCTTTGCTTTTTACAAGACTGGACATATACCTGCACACACAAACAGGAACCTGCTCAAAAAAATAGCTACAAACTAGGTGAATACCTAGGTGTGGCCAGGAAGTAGCCTAGTTTTACATCCTGGGATACAGATTGAGACCTGATAGCACATGCAAATCTAATCCTGGAGGAGGAGCCTGCGTTCAGAATCGCTCTGAAATCACAATCAACGCTTCGTTTGAGAAGCTTTTCAAAGCAAATAAAAGCACCCAGTCCAAGACTTTGGACTCCATCCACAGGATCTGGCTGTGATTCGGGGTGAGTTCACCTGGAAAGCCCTGGAGACAGAGCTACATGCTCGCTCTCAGAAAGAGCCATTTAGGGATATGGAATGTTTCCAAAATCAATACTGTGGTGTTGTGGAAGAGCTCTGATTACAAACTGCCTGTTTCTTACGTAACAAAAGCTGTTTCCTGAAGTGAAGCTTTTGGGAAGAAATCGGCTGCATCTACATTACCAAGAGGTAATTAGTGGAGCCCTAGAGCCCAACAGCTGCTGCTGCAAACAGCTCTGTGGTCTCTGTCCCACAGTGTTTACCCCAAATGGCTCAAGTCTGAGCCACAAGCACCCACGGAGCAGTGGAAGTGCAGGAATCCTTCCTTCCTTCCTTAAAGGGTCATCTTCCATGTCTGTCTCGCTGCAGCTTTCTTTTTCCACCCTTTAATTTTTATTTCACAGAATCCCCAGGAACACCGAGGTTGGGAAAGCCCTCTAAGGTCAAGGAGTCTGAGCTGTGCCCAGTCCTCATCTTGTCCTCTTGTCAGAGCCCTGAGTGCCACCTCCAGAATTCCTGGGACACCTCCAGGGATGGGCAGTGCCAATCCCTGAGCCCCTTTCCATGGGGAAATTCCTGCTGGTTCCACCCTGAGCTCCCCTGGGCCAGCCTGAGGCCGTTCCCTCTGTTCCTGGCCCTGTTCCCCGGAGCAGAGCCCAGCCTGTTCCCGTTTCCCACCTTGGCCATGGTGTCCCTTGCCCAGTGGGTCCCAGGAGGGTGGCAGGGACAGGGATCAGCACCCTGGTGCTCACACCCTGTGCTCCCAGCAGCTGCAGGAGCACACCCACCATGACACAGCTAATCCCTGCAAAAACCCAGGGGCCAACTACCACCACGAGGCCAAGGACATACCGTGGCTGAGTTCATCTGTACAGCCAGGCTGGCAGAGCTCTGGTTGAGACTGAGGGTACCCAGCCTGTAAAAAGGCAAAACAACTCCCCAGGTCCCATCTGCCAGCACACAAACAAGCACCAGCACAAGGAAGATATTGCCTAACTGAGCTACTTGCAAATGCCAAGCCCTGTTTTGAAACCATCAACTATGAGTGGAAGGTAAAAGTCACAACTGCAAACTGACAGAAGAAAGCCCACATTTCTTTCAAATGTTTGCTAAACCTTGTAGAGACTTGTGTGGAGACAAAGCAGGCAGCAGCAAGGAACCCGTAGGAGCTGTCCTTTGGAAAAGTGCTCTGCACTAATGGCCTCTGCACTGACCACATCCTGCCAGCTCCCTGCATTCCTGTCAGGGACAGCCAGCAGGTAGCAATGGATCTCTAGAGAAAATACTACATCATGCAGCAAGGACTAATTCACAACGTTGTTATTATTACTGTGGTCCTGTGCACACACATAATTAAGCAAAACAAAGTGTAAATCCATACATATATACAACCAAAGTAATGCTACAAATTAGACACAAGGGGTGTGAATAATCTTTTATGCACACGCGTGTCTAATCAAAACTTCCATCCAACCTCAGACTAAGTAAACTGCAAATGCCTAATGTTAAAATGAATAATATTCTGGTTATTGATATTGAAGGGGCAGTACTGGAATTTGCTTTATCTATTAACACAGAAAGATCCTGAACTATCAGACCAAGTCTTTAGTGGCTAATCAGTCACTGCTCATCACTGAAAATTCCTGAAGAACTGTAACCATGAATAAGGGAGGAAAAGAAAAAGGTGGAAAGTAGCAGGGAAGGGAAGAAAATGAAACTCCTTTGGAGGGGAGCAGAGCCCCTGCTTCCCCGCAGCAGGTGAAAGGAGCTGCACACCTGTACTACCTGCTCACAGTAACAGGAGAAGTCAAGGAGAGAGTAAATCCGGCTGCTTTTGGACCCAGGCTCTCCACACACACATTCACATCTTTTCCTGCAGAATTAGGCACACAAACATTTACTGCCTGCTCAACAGAGGTAAGAACTCAGAGAAGTTTAGCATACCAAGCAATAGTCCCAAGAGTACAGTCAGCGGAAGCAATAACTTACTTTCATTTACAAAGTTCAGTGTATCTACAGCTGTGCTATTTTTACCAAGAATTCAGTTTTGGGTTTTTTTTTATAATGGGAGGTGTTACTTCTATCAGCTCCATTGAAGAAAAAATATATATTTAATGAACCTGTAACCTCCTTTTTTATTATATACAGATACCTACAGGCACACAGCAGCTGTCTGGGACAGGGAGACACTGAGGCTGGACCTCTTGCTGTGGGACATTCTCAGGGAGCACAGGGATGACCCGCACACGGGACAGCTGCCAGGGGCTCTGCACCACTTCTGTAAAACTGCCACACTCTCCTTTTTTTTTTTTTCTATTTTCTTTTTCCCATCCAAAGGCTTAAATAAAACAGGGGGAGGAGACTGACTGCACTTGGAAGTGAAAGCTGCTGTGTAAGATCATAGTATCATGGAATCGTTTTGGTTGGAAGGGACCTTAAAGCCCATCTCATCCCACCCCTGCCATGGCAGGGACATCTTCCACTGCCCCAGGTGCTCCAAGCCCTATCCAGCCTGGCCTTGGGCACTGCCAGGCACCCTGTGCCAGGGCCTGCCCACCCTGCCAGGAAGGATTCCTTCCCCATATCCCATCTACCCATGCTGTTCTCGAGCCTTACACATGGAATGATGAAATCCCAGAACGGTTCGGGTGGGAAGAGAGCTTAAAGATGCTCGGGTGCCAGCGCTGCCATGGCTGTGCCCGGCTGCTCCCGGCGCTGTGCAGCTGGCCGGGGCACTGCCAGGCAGCCAGGGCAGCTCTCGGCAGCAGGGCAGGCTGCGGAGCAGGGGCAGGACACGAGGATTTGCGTTTGCGATAAAAGGCAGCGCAGCGCTCACGGCGCGGTCCGGCCGGCCCCGCTCCCTCCATCCGCCCGCTCCGACACGAACCCCACGGCACTTACTGCGGGAGCCCCGAGCCCGCGTCCCTCTGCGGGCTGCTGGCGGCCGGCGGCGGGAGACAGCGGCGCGGAGCGAGGGCGGCTCTGTCCCCGCCCGCCCTCCGCCTGCAGCAGCCAGCCAGGCTCCCCGAGCTCCGCCTCGGCCCCGCCGGCACCTCCCCGCCCTGCTCCCGCCCGGGGCCGCGGCTGCCCCGCGGAGCGCCGCCGCTGCGGCCTGCGCCCGCGGGGAGGGGCCCGCCGCGGCCTCCTCATCCCCGGCCTCGCGTGATGGGGGTCGCCGCCCAGGGCCGCCCCTCCCGGGGCTGCGCCGGCGGCGCCACCGGAGGCGGTGCCGGAGGCCTCCGGCCCACGCGTGGGGCCCGGCCCGGCTGCACCGCCCGCGCGGCTGATGGTGGTCTGCAGCTGTCTGGGTGTCATTTCAAGTCACTAAACAACTGCAAGGATTGGATTTCATGAGTTCTGCAAAGTCAGTGATATTCAGTCACTGGTGATGGGAGCGGTGTTTATCCCAGGAACATCAGTGCTCTTAAAAGGGGCTAAGACCTCGAGGGGCAGCTGGAATTAGTAGATACTCTGGCTTAGAAGCTGTCAACTGAAGAGAAAGATTTGAAAATAAAAGGGAAAAGACCAGAAAATTATTCATTGTTTTCTAAGGATGTGGTTTTAGGATGTGTGTTTTTTGGAGCATGTGAGAACGGAAGAAGAATAATTGGGATTTAAAAAAATAAAAAGGAATTTAAATGCAGTTTGTGGCAAATAATTTCATCATGATCCAACACACACAAGTTCTAGATCAGAATGCCTACCCCATATACATGTTCCAACATGGCACTAGATGTTTCATCCATTTCTAACAAATACTTGTTAGAGCTAGGAATAGGAAAATCCCTTGTCCACCCACCCCTCAAAGTGGTTGTCTACCCAGGTGTAGCTGCACTGTCAGTATTAATATATGACAAATTTTAATTGATACGGGAATTTATGAGTGCAAAATATATCTATAGCCAGTTTCCAAGTGAATATATTCTGCACCCCAGCGCTGCTGTGTCTCATCAACTTTTTCCAGCCTGCAAAATCTTGAAGGGGGTAGAAAATGAGAGCGTTGTACTACTCTCCTCATAAAGGGAAAGTGAAAACTTCATAAAGCAATCTCACTTTCCAGGAGAGGTTCTCCCCATCGTCACAGTGCAGCTACCAATAAACAGGGATGGGCTCTTCTCTCCCCTACTTTAGGCTTCTGTTCAACTACTCCAGTCTTTTTATCTTAGTTACTGATTGTTTAAGATTGGGCTTCATAAGTTTGAGGAGTAAAAGTTTTACAAGGTTAAGTAAAAAAATGAGATGCCTTAAAGTACTGAAAAATTCATCTCTCTCAAGTCTGATTTTTATTTAATGCCTGGATGAAAATATTACCTCCACAGTAAGTCTCCGTGCGTGTGGCTTGGTCCCCAGGACACCTGCCAAGACAGGAATTTCAGATGCCCGAAATCATGTGCTCAGCAGGTGTAAATTGTGTGCAGGGAGAGTTCACCTTTTGTCCTCAACCCCAGAGGCAGTTTCTCTTCATTAGCAAGGGAAGATGGGGAAAAAGATCATCATCGTTTCCTGACTGCATGCCAAAGTTATGTATCATAAGAAGAAAATCTGTTCATACGTTCACAAATATGTTTTCTGCTAATCAGTCTTCAGGAAAATGTCTTTGTGAGCAGCCAGGGTGGTGGCAGTGGCAGGAGAGCTGAGACAAAGGGACAGGAGCAGATGCAGAGTTTCTCTGCTGGAATTTTCCAGCAGGATCCCCGGCAGGTCCTGGCTGTGGTTTCAGGGCTCCCATCTCGGGCTGCGGGGCGGGTGTCCCTGCAGGTGCAGCCCTGGGCTTTGCCCGTGCTCAGCCTGCAGCCCGAGCGGGATGTGCTGCTGCTGCTGCTGCTGCTGCTGCTCAGGGGTTTCCCCACACTGCAGCGCATCAATCCAGTGCGTGTCTGAGGCAGAGAAAGCGGCTGGTTCTTCTATTGGGATGTGTTAGCGCTGTGATCATGTCTGATTGATTGCTGTCCCATCGAGATCCCACACCGGGGCTGAACCGCAGAAACAAATGCAAAAATTGCAGTTTTAAAAGAACAAGGTCACGGGTCACGTTATTTGTAGCAGGACAAACACCATAATTAATTGGCCTCTCCCTGCAACGGCAGCAAAGGAGGGAATGGAAGGAAGGGATGTGGAGCATCCGTGTTTTTGTGGGGCAAGTGGCCGAGCTAAGTCTGATGGACAACATGAATTCCGTTGGTAAAGAAAAGGAGGACAGTATCTTTGAGAAAGCAAGACTGCTTGGACTAGTCAAGAGTAGTTATTTTCTCTTTGAATGTTTAAGGAGCTTTGTTGTGGCAGGAAATATGAAAAAAAAACCCTATTCAATTTATTTTCTGTACATGTGCTGGAGTGAGAGATTGTATTCAGCAAAAGCAAGGCAAAAGACTCTTCGGAATTTGTGCTGTATTATTTTTTTCTCTCAATGACAGATGAAAATGGCCTTGGTGACTGCACATGTCTGCTGTTTATCGAGGTATTTTCTCCGTTGGATTGATTAGGAAAAGCTTAGAAAGCCTCTTCAAAGACATTTACAGTGACTTTTAAAAATTCCCATCCTGGCATCCCGTAATGAATAAGTCCAGGATTTGACATGCCCATTTCCCTGGCATTGCCTGCCTGATGGCTTTCTTTTGGGACGCTTTAGGCAGGATCTGGGATGAACGGTTTCAGGGTGTCCATGCATTTATAAGGAACTTGCAGATTGCCAGCAACATCATCAATAATTGTGCTAGGAAAAGTGATTTTAAATAACCACATGTATCATTGTCAATTTGGTTTCAGTGACCTTTTGTGATCCAGAGCTATTCCATTGAAAAAGAAAGGATATTGGAAAATCCCTGAGAGGCTGGTATGTGGAACAATCAGCGTTCCTGGATGGGAGTGGCTCCTCTCCCGTCCGAAGGGCAGGGATATCTCACCCCATTTTCCCTCAGCACCATTTTGACCACGCCAGCCATGCTCTACCTTCCCTGGAATTTCAGATTATGCTTTTTCATCTACTGAAATATTCCTCCCTGCAGATTTAAATAATTAATTGGGACGTGCCTAGTGGGTCTGGAGCTAAACTTCAGGGAGGCAGCAGATATGTGTGACCAAGTGACCTTTTGCTGTCCTGCTCGTCCCCGCGCGCTCGCTGTGCTCAAAGGGACGCTGTCAAAATTGCTAGGCCTTAAAACTTTAACCCGCACTGACAAGTTGTTCTACATTATAAGTCTTCCTTAAAAGATTACCACGATTGTTTTGTTTGTTTTGTTCCAACCATCTTTGCTGAGGGCTCCACAATACGGATTCATTTGTCCTTTTGGGTAGGTGGATATTTTTAAATGCCCGGCTTATTCCGTGACCTGTTAAAATCGAGTTGATGTGCGTGTGCTCCACTCAGCGGAGAACTTGCCAGGGATGGAGCAATTTCTCTGCACTCTGGAAGAGGAGGCAGGAACATCTTGGGAAGCCTTCATGGAGAGGCTTTGAGAAGCCATTTTGAAAGGCCTCTTGTTATCTTCAGTGCTTTGGAAGGTTTGACTGGGCTTGCCTGGTGATACAAAGTGGTGTGTGTGTGTTAGTGAAACACCAGCTGGTTCTTACACAGAGGTTTGCTTCTCTCATGGTGCTCTGGTTCACTCATTGGCCTTTATTTCTCAGATCTCCATTTACAGAATCACAGAATCCCTGATGTTGGAAAAGGCCTCCAAGACCATCGAGTCCAAGCTGTGCTCGATGCCCACCCTGTCCCCAGCCCAGAGCCCTGAGTGCCAGGTCATGGAATTCCTTGGACACCTCCAGGGATGGGCACTCCAAACCTTGGGCAGCCTCTGCCAAGGCCTGACCACTTTTTTGTGAAGAAATTCTTCCTGAATTTCTAAAAATGTTCAGCCTGCTGTTCCCCCTGAGCTCCCCTGGGCCAGCCTGAGGCCGTTCCCTCTCCTCCTGTCCCTGTTCCCTGTTCCCAGCCTGACCCCCCGGCTGTCCCCTCCTGTCAGGAGCTGTGCAGAGCCACAATGTCCCCCCTGAGCCTCCTTTTCTCCAGGCTGAGCCCTTCCAGCTCCCTCAGCTGCTCCTCCAGGACCTGCATGGTTTAACACAGCTCCACGTGAGCAGGTGGATCAGAGCCAGCGGTGCAGGTACAGCTGTGCTGTCACCCTTCCCCATTTTCATGTGCCAGGACAAAGATCGATGCAACACCCATTTTATACGTGGTGACTGCACAGGCCCTCCACGAGCTGTGGGAGCACGTGTCCACGCCAGCAGGCAGGAGGGAAGCAATGATACCCACTGCCACACCCCAGGTGAGCCACACCTGCGCTTGGAGCTTGATTTGAGTGGATTTACCACCGCCTAGCAAGACAGCCTTGTTCCTGCCACAGTGCACCAGCTGAACTGGGGAGAGAGGCTGCGGGCAGCCCTGAGCTGCAGCATCCCCCTCAGAGGGGCACAGCAGAGGCAGCAGAAACACCTGGACCTCCTTTGCTCTGCTCTGTCAGGCCTCAGCCAGAAGCAGGGACACCTTCACTGTCCCACGTGCTCCAAGCCCCAATGTCCAGCCTGCCCTTGGACACTGCCAGGATCCAGCGGCAGCCACAGCTGCTCTGGGAACCTGTGCCAGGCCTTTCCATCCTCCCAGGGAAGGATTTATTCCACATATCCAACCTGAGTTTCCCCTCTGTCATTGTGAAGCCGTTCCCCGGTGCCCTCTCCCTGCAGCTCCTGGTGTACAGTCCCTCTCTGGCTCTGCTGCGCACCCCTTCAGACACTGGAAGGGGCTGTGAGGTGTCCCCAGAGCCTTCTCCCCTCCAGGCTGAACAGCCACAGCTTTCTCAGGCTCACGGGGCAGCTCCAGTCCCCTTACCAACCCTGTAACCTCCTCTGGGCTTGCTGCAACAGTGCCATGTCCACTGGGACACGGAACAGACCCTTGGCAGGGAACCTTCTCCCAGCCATTGTGACAACTAAGACAGGGAACCCCTTGGCACTGCTTGTTTTGTGGGAGTAGGAATCTGATTGCTACTCAGCTGAACTGATCCTGTGAGATTCTCACCAGTTTTGAGGCTCTGGACCATGTTTTTAATATTGCAGGTCTCGATTTCTGCCCCGTTCGGCACCCTCCTGCTCCCATCAGTTCTGAGGGAAGCCAAGTGAGAGCCTGGGTCACACAGCCTGGGAACAGGTTCCCAGAGCGTGTTCTGGGTGACATTTGGGCCCCAGGGAGGCCTGGGAGCCACCAAACTCCTCCTGGTGACACAATTCCCTGCAGGACGTCAGCCAACACCCCCAGATGTTCTCAGCAGGCGCAAAACGGTCTGAGGGACATGAGGAGCTGTTCTCCGATTTGCTAAGCGTGAGTGCAAGGACAGGTTCCATTTCTGCTCTGGGACAGGCAGTGCAGAGTCTGTCACTGAGAGTCCCCGTGTGCAATAATTCTCCAAACCATGCACGAGCAGCACGTCCTGCTCTGCCTGCCCCACAGAGCAGAGGGCACCTGGGGACAGGGTTCAGAGGTGGCCCTGCCAGCCCTGAGTGACCCCTTGGACCCGCTGATCTCACGGGGCTTTTCCAACCTCAGCCAGCCCACGGTTTCTGACTCGTGACCCTCTCTGAGGACGCGCTGCTGGCTCCCATGGGGCTGTGCACAGATGTTGCCAGATGTCCCTGCCTGGCAGAGCCTCGGCTCACCAGGAATGAGAGGAGGTGGGAGGACAAAAGCAGGGGAAGCCTCTGCTTGGCTGACTCCCAGGCACAGTAAAATTGGGAATTAGGGGCTTCTCAATGTGAACAGCGTTTGCCTAAGTGCCTGGGGGTTTTGGTCCTGGGCCTGTCTGAGAAAACAGTTTTGCCAGGCTGACTAACCCAACCGTAAGCCACAGCCTCAATAACCATTATTGCTTACAGTTTTGATTGTGTCACCTTCTGCCAGCAGAAGCTGAGAAGGAAAGGGAGCTGTGCTGGGGTGTTACACTGTGCTGTTCCTGCACATCCACACGCAGGACACTGGGACAGGACCTGCAGTGCCAGAAAGCTGAAGCAGAAAACGCTTGCTTGCTTCTGACCTGTGCTGAGGTGGGTGGTTGTAGCTGTTCCTCCTGCCTGGTTGGTGTTCTCCAGCACTTTCGTACGTAAATCTCAGTGTTCCCTAGATGTGAAGCACTGGTTGCAGCTTTTCCTTGGACTCTGGCTCACATGTGGCTGTTGGTGGGAGCGTGTCCAAGGCAAACTGAGTGTCAGGAGCGTGCATGGTTTATTTTGGGACACAGCGTGGCCATGTCACAGTGCAATCTAGGACTCACTGTTGAGGTCACCACACACGGGCACAGTGTGCTGAAATGTCATCACCTGGCGAGTCACAGAGACCATCCTGAGCACACCCTGATGACTCCTTTGTGGATCAACTGAGCCTCTGAGGCCTTAACTGTTGGCCTCCTCTGGCAAAGTCCTTCCAGGATGGAAAAGGGACAAAAATACACATTTGTGACTTGATCCAAAAGCTTTTAAATGTAAAGAATGACCATAGCACCATTTAGGTTGGAGAAGACCTTTAAGATCGACTCTAACCCTAGTGCTAGGGCTAAAGAATCTTGGAAACCTTCACTTGCAATCTCCTGAAGTTCTTCCATTAAATCACTCCTTGCTTATTAGTTTATCCCTGATACAGACAGAATGCTTAGAAACAAAAGAAATTTTCAAAGAATATGCTGAGGGAAAAAAAAAAGTTTTTTAAATTATTACAGAAATAATGATTAGTGAGATCTTGCACCTGTGAGAGACGAACAAGCCCAAAACCATCAGCCAGCCCAGACTCTGTGGGGTGTATGATGGGTGCATTATGCGCTTTGCCAGGGGCTTCTTTAACCCTTTGGAGGAAAGATGTATAATGACTAGTGCTGGCTTCTTAAAAGCTTTTTCCCTGGAAATGGTGGCTGGAAAGCGCTGTGTGAGCACGTGGGGCTGAGAGGCAGAACGAAGCAGGTGGGTGTGGTGCCAGCGGTGCCAACGATGCCATCGGTGCCATTGGTGCCAGCAGTGCCGGTGGTCCCACAGTGCCATCGGTGCGGGTGGTGCCAGCGGTGCCATCGATACCATCGATGCCATGGGTGCCATTGGTGTCATTGGTGACGGCGGTGCTGGTGGTCCCAGTGGTGCCATCGGTGCTATTGATTGGTGCCATCTGAGCCATCGATGCCATTGATGCCATGGGTGCCATGGGTGCCATTGGTGCCAGCGGTCCCAGCGGTGCTGTGGGTGCCATGGTTGCCATGGGTGCCATGGGTGCCAGCGGTCCCAGCGGTGCTATGGGTGCCATCGATGCCATGGGTGCCATAGGTGCCATAGGTGCCAGCGGTCCCAGCGGTGCTGTGGGTGCCATGGGTGCCATGGGTGCCATGGGTGCCATCGATGCCATGGGTGCCATGGGTGCCATAGGTGCCAGCGGTCCCAGCGGTGCTGTGGGTGCCATCGATGCCATAGATGTTATCGGTGCCATTGGTACCATCGGTGCCAGCGGTCCCAGCGGTGCTGTGGGTGCCATGGGTGCCATGGGTGCCATCGATGCCATGGGTGCCGTGGGTGCCATGGGTGCGGTGCCGGCAGTGAGCCGGTTCAGCCAGGGGCAGGAATCGCCCATCGAGCGCGCATTGGTGGTTCAGTGGTAGAATTCTCGCCTGCCACGCGGGAGGCCCGGGTTCGATTCCCGGCCAATGCAGTTCCCTTTTGCCGGCGGAGCAGCCGCCGCGTTTTGTGGCCGCAGCGCTTTCATTTTCCCCGCGGGGCTCTCGGGCGGGGGAAGCGGCACCGGGCTGGCCGTGCCGTGCCGCGCCGCGCCGCGCCGTGCCGTGCCGTGCCGTGCCGTGCCGCTGGCGTGGCTCGGAGGAACCAGCGGCCGCGCGGGCAGACGGGAGAGAAAAAAAAAAAAATAAAGAAGTAAAAAGCAAAAGAAGCGCCTGGAGATGCCGGGGATTGAACCCGGGACCTCACACATGCGAAGCGCGCGCTCTACCACTGAGCTACATCCCCGGCTGGCAGCGCCTCGCGCCCGCCGCCCCCGAATGGAGCGCGGCTGGGCCCGGTCTGCGGCGGGACACGGGACGCGGGACACGGACACGGGACATGGACACGGGACACGGGACACGGGACACGGACACGGGACACGGGACACGGAGCGGGACACGGGACACGGACACGGAGCGGGACACGGAGCGGGACATGGAGCGGGACATGGAGCGGGACACGGGACACGGGACACGGGACACGGAGCGGGACACAGAGCCCCGGGGCGGGGACACGGAGCCCCGGGCCGGGACACGGAGCCCCGGAGCCGGGACACGGAACGGGACACGGAGCCCCGGGGCGGCACCGGCCCGTCAGTGTGCGGGAGCCGCAGGCAGAGCCCCGGGCCCGGGGCAGCCCCGGTGCCGGTCCCGCCGGGTCCCAGCGGGTTTGGAGCCCCGGTGCTGACCCGGAGGAACCAGAGGAGCGGAGACCCAGCAAACCCAGCACCGTCCTGCAGCCTCGCAGGGGCTGCCCGGTGCCACCGGGCACCATCGCTGTGCCCCTCGGTGGGCAGCGAGCTAGCCCGCAGCGTCACAGTCTGGAACGGGGTCAAACCCCAAATGCCACCCCGTGCCACCCTGCCCTGGCAGGGACACCTCCCGCTGTCCCAGCTGCTCCAGCCCCAGTGTCCAGCCTGGCCTGGGCACTGCCAGGGATCCAGGGGCAGCCCCAGCCTGTGCCAGGGCTGCCCACCCTCACAGGGGAGAATGCTGGATTTAATTTATTCAATTTAGTTATTTTATTTTATTAATATTTAATTTTTTATTTAATTTATTATTTAATTTAATTTATAAATTAATATTTAATTTATTATTTAATTTTTATTTAATTTAATTTATTCTCCCACAAGCGGCCATACTGATCCCACAGGGCCCTTCCCCACCCAGCCATTCCCATTTTGACATCCATAACCTCGGCCACTCAGGTTTTCCATCCTGTCAGAAAACAGCACTTGCAGCTTGACTTTCTTCCAGCCAGGTTTTAGGAAGCTGCTTTCTGGGAGTAACTGGATCTGGTTTTCCTAAACACCCAATCTCTGGTTTGTGTGTAGCCTAAGGTGCAGAGTGGCCGTGGCTCCTCACCAGGCCGAGCCAAGGGTGCTAGTACCAACCTTGTAATAAAAACACAAAGCAATTTAAATATTTATCTTCAGTTTTTTCCTCCTTTTGTTTACTTTCCTGTAGAGTTCAAATAGCCAAAAATGAATAATACAGATATTATTTACTATGCTGTTATGGATTTGTCAGCTGTGATGGACAGTCACCCAGTTGTGACACTTCCCCTCTGGGATGGAGGCAGAGCACAATCTGCCTGCTGAGATGAGCAGCTCCGCACCCAAAGCCTATCAGCAAGTATTTAATTACTGTCCCTGTGCCTTTATTGAGGTGAAACAAGGCTCCTCATCCAGCCTGGTCCAAATACGCTGTACACCTCATCACCCACCAAACACGGGATAAGGTGAATTGTTCAGGCAAGGCTCACACGAGGATGCTACGGGAGAAGATGAGTGCAGTGGAGGAAAATCGAGTGCCCATAAGTGGAGAATGACGGAGCAGCCCGGTCCTGGTCCCTCACAGCCCGGTCCTGCCCCGCTGCCAGGAAACTCCGGCTCATCTTGTTTCAGTGCGGCTGGACGGCGGCACAAGCTCCGCATCCAGCTGCCCCCGAGTGGGACATTCAGCCCTTTGTGTTTGGGACATTCAGCCCTTTGTGTTTGGGACATTCGGCCCTTTCTGTGTGGGACACTCAGCCCTTTGTGTTCGGGTTTGTGCGCTGCCATCGGGGGACACAACGCGGCTGTTCTCGGGGCTCCTCCGCGGTCCTGGCTGGGATGGATGAACTGGCACTGCCTGCCAGGATTCCGCCTTTACAGCCAGGATTCCTTCTGAAAACCCAGCTCTCGTTCAGCAGAGTGCAGCAGCAGAGCCCAGCGCTGTAAAACAACAGGTGAAGAGGATTCAGGTGCCCTGGAGCAACGCCAGAGCTGCAGGTCTCCACTCCCAGGTGTGTCTGGCACCTCTGTGTGACACCTGAGCCCGCGGCAGTGGCACCAGACATTTACACTGAAATACATCGAATTATCTTTCTTTCATCACACGGCTGCATCATCCATTTCTTTGAGGTATCCAAATGAGGGGGTGCAGAATTCCAGCCTGAATTCCATCCTCACAGCCTGGAGAAAAGGAGTCTTGGAGGGGACACTGGGGCTCTCCACAATTCCCAGGAGGGGACAGCCGGGGGGATTTGGGATCATCCCAGGGAACAGGGCCAGGAGGAGAGGGAACGGCCTCAGGATGGCCCAGGAGAGCTCAGGGTGGAACCAGCAGGAATTTCCCCATGGAAAGGGGCTCAGGGATTGGCACTGCCCAGGGAGGTTTGGAGTGCCCATCCCTGGAGGTGTCCAAGGAATGCCTGGACATGTCACTCAGGGCTCTGGTTGGGGACAGGGTGGGCATCGGGCACAGCTGGGATTTGGTGATCTGGGAGGGCTTTTTCCGACCTCAGGGATTCTGTGGTTCTGTATGATTATTTATCTTTTATTGAGCATTCCTGTTCTCCTTCAAAAAACATTTCTGTTAGAGGTTAGGAAAACTGTGAGGTGACAAACATCGGAGTTAGTGCATTGGAGGGACACCTAAGTACTTAACACTACAGGAACATGCCCTTACTACAGTACTTTATGTAATGTATTAGAAAATCAAAAATTTACTACAGACTTGTGATTTGCAAAGTTAAACAAGTAAAAACCTGCCAATGTCACATTTCAAAGAGTCAAAGAATCGGTAGGGTTGGAGGAGAGCTTTCAGATAATCGAGTCCAAGCATCCACCCAGCACCACCAGGGCCACCCTTCAGTATGTCCTCAGGTGTCCTGCCCAGGTTTTTGGAAACATATTTTACCCACTGGCACCAATCAGGGACTAGAGTGCTCGGAATGACCTTTAGGAAGTTCTGCACACAGGTCACACGAGCTGGAATGAAGTTACCACCTTAAGTCCTCCAGATACAAATGGCTTTTTCTCCTGGATTTTTGCATCTTGATTTTTATTGACTCAGCTCTCTTGCTTGCTGGAACTGAAGAATAAAGCAAGGAAGGCTTCCAGCAGCTCCCAGCCATGAAGGAGAACTGCAGAGTTCACGTGCTTGGCTGCCTTTTGTTGTGAGAACAAACACAGCCCCAAAATACAGGTTACAGATGAGCCCATAGTAAACAATTAGGAAAGCTGGAGTTAAAAAGGGGGATAAAAAGGCAGAAAACATGATTAAAGCACTGAGCTGGGAGATTCATTAGTATTGCAGACAGATAAGTAAATTAGAGCCCTGCAGAAATTATTTGACTGGCAAATTAATTACACAATATTACAATGGCTTTGCCAGCCAAATTTAGCCCTCGGGAAGCAGGTAGGAGTCTGCCTGACTTAATAAACGAAGCCTCGACTGGTCTGCAGCTTAATCAGAGATGAAAATGAACATTTCAGGATTGGAGGCACAAGGAGGCTCCTGCCATCCTGCCAGGCTGTAGCACAATTCCCGGGTCACAAGGAAGCTGTTCCTGCAGCAGATCACTCAACAGGACACTCCACATTAGCCTGGAGAATGCCTGATTCAAATATCTTACCCCAACCCTTAAAAGTATACTTTATTATTATTATTATTATTATTATTATTATTATTATTATTATTATTGCTATAATCGTTAGTATAATTCACATAATATACAACTAATATAGTTCATGTTATTGTTAATGTTATAATCATATTTCCTTCAATGTTGACTGATTCCCTGAAACTCATTCTCCATTTGCAGCTCTCTCTCGCTGTGTCCCCAGTGAGCAGAAACACTTCAGGTAAGAAACCTTTGTTTTTCAGTTTGTTTGCTTAGTATCACATTTTTAAGGTGTGGATATTAGGAACTCTCTCCTGGAGCCAGTTTTTTGTTTCTTTTCCTGGAACAGCTTTGGAAATACATATTTATATCCCTGGAACACGTCACCTCCCATGACAAGCACCAGACAACACTCATTATCCAGGCTGCTCCACAGCATCATTTCAAACACGAGGACCTCAATAGCTCTGCAGATATTAAAATAAAACCTTTCCTGGGCTTTCCTGCCCCCAGAGGTGGCAGTGGCTGCGGTGGGCACCACAAGCCTGGCAGCCCTTGCCCACCAGGCCCCGCTGGGGAGCAGTGGAGGGGCGGCAATAAATCCATTTTCTCTCCTTTCCTGTGTGCCTGCAGGGGCCAGGCCTGTGGGATTGCTGCTGGAAGTGCGGCCTCATTTAATGGGGATCTGACTGATATCAAAATTGACTCGGTTTTCCAATGATATCTTGTAGTGGAATGTTGTGAGCTGGAAACTAATATATTTCTTCTTGCTTGTCACATCAATATGGGCTAATTTTGTTGGCTTTTGTATTGAACAACCTGGTGAATGTACAATCCAGCTTTGATTTCTCTCTTTATGATGCCTCTTATTATTAAACCTCCCTCAACCAAAAAAATAATGTATTTTTATTTACTGGTAATATTAATGGGATTCAATTTTTGCCTCAGTTTTAATCTAGTTTTTCCATATTGAAGAACCAGATCCCATTTAATTAAAATTGAATAAAACCCAGTTTTTCCTCCATTCAGTGTGCAGGCTGAGCTTCATTTTTTGCATAGTTTTATTTAATACTACTCTTCTCAAATCGGTGTTTTTTACTCACTGCGCTTCAGGTGTTGCAGAAAAGACTGTTTATTGTGCACGATTAATTGCCTGTAGCTATCGCTGGCCCGGCGGCCGGAGCCCCGCGCTGCTCACAGCCCGTGCAGCTCTGCCGGAGGAGCTGTTCGCTGCTCACACGGACGGGCTCCAGCCGCGCTCGGCCCGCACAGAAACACTGTCCGTCTGTCTGTCCGTCCGTCTGTGTGTCTGTCCGTCTGTCCCCACGGCTGCCGGACGCCTTCAGCCCCGCCGGGCGCAGCAGCGGGGCCGGGCCGGGCCGGCTGCCGGCTCCTCCCGACCCCTCCCAGCACCTCCCGACCCCTCCCGACCCCTCCCGGTCCCTTCTCCCGACCCCCCCGGTCCCTCCCGACCCCTCCCGGCTCTCCCGGCTCCTCCCGGCCCCCGGCCCGTCCCCGGGGCCGCACATCTGGAGAGGGACAGGGTCCCTGAGTGCAGAGCCAGCCCTGCAGCTGCCGAGGCCAAACTGCGCCCCAAAACCCGGGCCAGGACGGGGACACCGAGGGGAGACCAGCCCTGTGAGACCCAGCTGTGCCCCAAAACCCGGGCCAGGACGGGGACACCGAGGGGACAGCCAGCCCTGTGACACCCAGCTGTGCCCCAAAACCCGGGCCAGGACGGGGACAGCGAGGGCAGAGCCTCGGGGAGGAGCGGGAGCCGTGCCGGGGGAGGCTCGGTCAGACTGGGACTGAAACTGGGGCTCGGCCCCGCTCTACAACAGCGCTTTGCACTGATAGATAAAAACCTGTCCTGACAATTTCGGTAAGTCCCTTTCACCTCAGGCCTCTCTTTCTGAAGCACTGGAAATAATTAACTTTTTAAAACATAACTTCTCCATACTCTGTACTGAAGTCAGGCATTTTAAAAAGCAAAAATGGTATTTTAATAACTATTCTCATAATTACAAACCCCATTCTCCACACCGTCCTGTTTTCAATTAACAGCTGCATTTATGGGTTTGTTCTCCCTGCCATTTCCCCCTAATTGCAGCCATTGCAGACAGGGAGAGTTTTGCAAATTCACAACTCTCGGGGGCTGTTTTCTCTTCGTTTTCTCTCTCTTTTCTGGGGCCTGCAGTGCTCTATGAGCCTTTTAGCAGAGGTGACATTGTCCCACGGGTGGCAGGACGAACACACAGTGCTGGGCTCCGTTCCTGGGGGCTGTGGCAGAGCCACGGGATGGTTTGGGCTGGACAGGTGTGACAGAGCCACGGGATGGTTTGGGGCACTGGTTTGGGGCACTGGTTCAGTAATTGTGTCAGTAATTCCCAAAATACAGGGAAAACAATGAGCAATTATGCTATTTTTGACTGTTTGTGGCACAAATACATCAGTCAAGTGTTGTGTTTTGGGGGTTTCCAGAGCTGGCAGAGCCGCCTGAGGCTGAGACAATCCCTGAGACCGTTCCCAAAGAAGCAGGCGATGGCCAGTGCCACCTCCCCCAGCACCGTGGCCACCGCTGGCCCTGGGACACCCCTCCTGCTGCTCCTGGGTGGCTCGGTGTCCTCTGGAGACATCCACGGGCAGCTCCGTGAATTCTCGAGGGGGACAGTGCGACTGTGTCCCCAAAATCTGCTGGAGGAGCGGGAATGGGGCAGCTCTGCCAGTCTGTCCCGCGGGGCTGGGCTGCCATCCCTGTCCCTGTCCCTGTCCCTGTCCCTGTCCCTGTCCCTGTCCCTGTCCCTGTCCCTGTCCCTGTCCCTGTCCCTGTCCCAGCCCCGCCTGCAGTCAGGGGCTCTGGGACACTCCTGGGCCACTCCTGGGACACTCCTGGGACACTCCTGGGCTGGTTTTCCTGGCTGGCCTCGGTCAGTGAGCAGAGCCCAGAGGTGCAGAGCAGACGAGACGCTGGGACAGGCTGCAGCAGTCACTGCTTTTGGCATTCCTGAGCCTTTTAGGAAAACTCTGCCAAGTAAAAACCCAACCGAGCCTGTGTTTGAGCGTGTGTGCGTGGGGCTGAGTCTGGAGGGGTTTTATGTAAGAACACTTCGCCAGGCCCTTTAAATAGTCTGTTTGCTGCCATCAGTCTGACATCAAACCCCAGCGATGCGCTCCTCGTCACAGAGGGGAGAGGCTGCGCCCTGGGCAGGGCTGGACCCGTTTGGTCCTAAAATCCGGGAATTCCAGAATAGCCTGGGGTAGAAAAGCTCTCTGAGACCACCGAGTGCAGCCATTCCCCGAGCACTGCTGAGGTCCCCGCTGACCCTGCTCCCCAGGTGCCGCATCCACACAGATTTTAGATCCATTCAAGGGTGGGGACAGCTGTGCCAGGGCTGGACAGCCCTTCCAGGGAAGAAATTTTCCACAATATCCAACGCGAACTTGCTCTGGGCCAGCCGGAGGCCGTTCCCTCTGCTCCTGTCCCTGTTCCTGGAGCAGAGCCCGACCCCCCGGCTGTCCCCTCCTGGCAGGGGCTGTGCAGAGCCACAAGGTCCCCCCTGATCCCCCTTTGCTCCCGGCTGAGCCCCCAGAGCCGGGGCTGGAGCCGGTCCAACACTTCCAGCAGGAACTTCGGGGGGTGCAGGGTGGGTGGGAAGGACCCAACTGAGCCCAAACCAAACCCAGCAACCAAACAACACCCAAATGAACCCCCCCCAAATCAAACCACAGACCAGTCCCCACTCCGCGGCTGTGCGGGAGCGCTGAGTGACAGCGGGGGAGCACAGAGGGGACAGAGGGACAGCCCGGGGGGGACAGAGGGACAGAGGGACAGCCCGGGATGAGCGGGACAGCACAGGGGGACAGAGGGACAGCCCGGGAGGGGACAGAGGGACATCCCGGGAGGGGAGCGGGGCAGCCCGGGAGGGGAACGGGTCATCCCGGGGCCGCCCCCGGCCGCTCCCCCGGCGCTGCCGTCAGCCGCCACCGCTGACGGGCCGTGACGGGCAATGACGCGCGGCGGCAGCCGGAGGGGAGGGGCGGCCCCGGCACCGGGCTCGGGTACCGGCTCCGGTCCTGGCTCCGGTCCCGGCTCCGCCCCGCTCCGCCCCGCGCCCGCGGCGGAGGCAGGTACAGGGGGACGGGACGGGACGGGACGGGACGGGACGGGACGGGACGGGACGGGACGGGATGGGACGGGATGGGACGGGATGGGATGGGATGGGATGGGATGGGATGGGACGGGACGGGACGGGACGGGATGGGATCCATGGGATGGGGATCCATGGGATGGGATGGGATGGGATGGGATGGGGGCGGAGACGGGCTGGAGACGATGGGGCGGGGATGCGGGAAGGAGGCGGAGAGTCCCGGGACTCGGCCCCGCAGCCGGGCGTGGGCTCGGGGCGGCGCGGCTCCGGCAGCGGTGCCCGCACAGCTGGATGCGGGCGGGCAGATGTTGCTGGCGCAGGCTGGGCAGCGAGCAGACGCCCGTTTAGCCTTTCACCTCGCCGCTATCCATCGCAGCCGTCCCGGGGGCCGCTGCCCCGGGCGCTGCGGGGACCGGCTCGCTGCGGGCCGAAGGAGGCGGACATCCAACACCGGGAGCATCTCAGCGATCGCGGCCCACCGTGCTGGCCGGCAGGACACGGGACAATGCGGCTCCCACCGGGGCTGAGGAGGGCTCCGTGCGATGGGCACCGCTGCAGTGAACCCCTCGTTCAGCGGACACCGCCTGCGCGGCTGAGCTCCGGGAGCGGAGCGGGAGCAGCAGGAGAGGCAGGATGACACTCAGTTAAACTTTCGGGGGAGCCAAATAATAATAACCCCCAAAATAATGAATCTGGGCTGTGAGACGGCCCATTCCTCTGTGGCACTGCGACCCGCGCTCTGACTGCCCATCAGGACATACCTGCAGCTTCACCGGGCTCCAGCCCCACCCGGACCCGCTGGGTGTGCCACCGTGGGGTGCTCCGGTGGGACACGAGGGTGTGCCCCGGGACCTGAGCGCCCAGGATTTGTCCCAGTACCCCCAGAGCTCCCAGTGCCCCCAGTGCTCCCAGTGCCACCAGTGCCCTCAGTGCTCCCAGTGCCCCCAGTGCCCCCAGTACCCTTGAGTGCTCCTAGTGCCCCAGTTCCCCCAGTGCCCCTGAGTGCCCCCAGTGCTCCCAGTGCCCCCAGTGCTCCCAGTGCCCCCAGTGCCCCCAGTGCCCCCAGTGCCCCCAGTGCTCCCAGTGCTCCCAGTGCTCCCAGTCCCCTCAGTGCTCCCAGTGCCCCCAGTGCCCTCAGTGTCCCCAGTGCTCCCAGTGATCCCAGTGCCCTCAGTGCCCCCAGTGCCCCCAGTGCCCCCAGTGCTCCCAGTGCTCCCAGCGCTCCCAGTGCTCCCAGTGCCCCCAGTGCCCCCAGTGCCCCCAGTGCTCCCAGTGCCCCCAGTGCCCTCAGTGTCCCCAGTGCTCCCAGTGATCCCAGTGCCCTCAGTGCCCCCAGTGCCCCCAGTGCCCCCAGTGCTCCCAGTGCTCCCAGCGCTCCCAGTGCTCCCAGTGCCCCCAGTGCCCCCAGTGCTCCCAGTGCCCTCAGTGCCCCTGAGTGCTCCCAGTGCTCCCAGTGCTCCCAGTGCCCTCAGTGCCCCTGAGTGCTCCCAGTGCTCCCAGTGCCCCCAGTGCCCCTGAGTGCTCCCAGTGCTCCCAGTGCCCCCAGTGCCCCCAGTGCCCCAGTGCTCTCAGTGCCCCCAGTGCCCCCAGTGCCCCTGAGTGCTCCCAGTGCCCCCAGTGCTCCCAGTGCCTCCCAGTGCCCCCAGTGCTCCCAGTGCCCCCAGTGCCCCCAGTGCCCCCAGTGCCCCCAGTGCTCCCAGTGCCCCTGAGTGCCCCTGAGTGCCCCCAGTGCCCCCAGTGCCCCCAGTGCTCCTGAGTGCTCCCAGTGCCCCCATTGCCCCCAGTGCCCCCCAGTGCTCCTGAGTGCTCCCAGTGCCCCCATTGCCCCCAGTGCCCCCAGTGCCCCCAGTGCCCCCAGTGCCCCCAGTGCCTTCAGTGCTCCCAGTGTTTGTGCTTCTTCCATGTGGAGATCTTTCTGAAAAGCTGGAGTCTGGAATGTTTGTTCTCCGCTTTTTTCACATCATTACTCTGATACTGCTTGATTAGCTCCCTCCCCAGTCATGATTGGTAATTAAAATAGGCATTAAAATTAGTCACTTAGCAATTTTGCTGTTCAATTGGCAATTAAATTACTTAATTGCAATTAAAGTCCTAATTTTAATTGGCAAAATGATAGATGTAGATTTAAGATAATATGTATAAATACTTTAATAAGTGTCTATATAAGGATTACTTAATTACTCAACTTCGAGTTTATGCTGTTAACTTTAGAACTTTTAAGTGAGTAATGAAATTTATATTACATCTATTCTAAGGATATGGTAATTAGATGTGTCACTTAGGCCTGGAAGGGCCTGGGCTGGGAGTTGGTGTGGTGTGGAGATGGGCTGGGCCATGGCGGGGTGTGACAGTGACAGTGGGGTGTGACAGTGGGGTGTGACAGTGGGGTGTGACAGTGGGGTGTGACGGTGGGTGGGGTGTGACGGTGGGTGGGGTGTGATGGTGGGTGGGGTGTGATGGTGTGTCTGAGACTTGGGGTGTTCCTTTAGAGACCCCAAAACTGCTGCTCTGACAGCCCCGTGTGTCCGAGACTCGGGGTGTGACCGTGTGACCCCAAAACCGCCGCTCTGGCCCCCATCAGCCCGGGCAGGAGCGCGTTGGGAAGGAGCCGTGGGTGGTTTCCCAGGAAATATTGGGAATTCTGGGCAGGGTTTTTGGAAGCAGCGCTGGCTGCTGGGACGGGGCTGCACCGCACTGGGCTGTGGGGTTTCTGTGGGGTTTTACCCTGCACTGGGCTGTGGGGTTTCTGTGGGGTTTTATTTATTAAATCAAACAAAAAAATCCAAATAAAATAAAAAATAGAACCCCCAAAATAATGAAATAAATTAAGCAATGAAATAAATAGACATTAAAAAAATAGAAAATAAGACAATAAGAAATAAAAAACAAACAGAAATAAAATGTAAAATATTACAATAAATAAATCCAAAATAAAAATAAAATAAAATCAATACAACATATAAAAGAAAGAGAATAATAAAATGAAAATTAAATTAATAATAAAATAAAACACTAATAAAATAAAATACACCAAATGCAGGAGGGCAGTGGAAGCGAGGGCACTTTGCACTCCTTTTGTGGCCTTGGCCTGGCTTTCTTCCCAGCCCTGCTCTGCCCCCATCTCTGCTCTGTCCTATTCCCGTCCCTCTCCCATTCCCTGCTCTGTCCCATTCCTGGCCCTGTCCCATTCCCATATCTCTCCCTTTCCCTGCCCATTCCCATTCCCATCCCCATTCCCACTCCCGTTCCCACTCCCGTTCCCGTTCCCATTCCCATTCCCGTCCCATTCCCATTCCCATCCCCATCCCCACTCCCGTTCCCATTCCCACTCCCGTCCCCATCCCCATTCCCATTCCCATTCCCATTCCCATTCCCATTCCCATTCCCATTCCCATTCCCATTCCCATTCCCATCCCCATCCCCATTCCTGTTCCCATTCCCATCCCATCCCCATCCCCATTCCCATTCCCATTCCCATTCCCATTCCCATTCCCACTTCCATTCCCATTCTCACTCCCACTCCCACCCCACCCCCATCCCCTGTCCCCATCCCCACCCCTGTTCCCGCTCCCGTTCCCGTTCCCTGTTCCCATCCCCATTCCCGTTCCCATTCCCACTTCCATTCCCATTCCCACCCCGGTTCCCATTCCCATTCCCATTCCCACTCCCATTCCCGTTCTCACTCCCACCCCACCCCCATCCCCGTTCCCACCCCCATTCCCGTTCCCCGTTCCCTGTCCCCGTTCCCGTTCCCCATTCCAGTTCCCCGTCCCCGTCCCCGTTCCCGTTCCCCATTCCCGTTCCTTGTCCCGATTCCCGTTCCCTGTCCCCATTCCCGTTCCCTGTCCCCATTCCCGTTCCCCGTTCCCTGTCCGCATCCCCGTTCCCGTTCCCCATTCCCATTCCCGTTCCCCATTCCCGTCCCCATTCCCGTTCCCTGTCCCCATTCCCATTCCCATTCCCGTCCCCGTTCCCCATTCCCATTCCCGTTCCCGTTCCCGTCCCCGTCCCCATTCCCGTTCCCCATTCCCGTCCCCGTTCCCGTTCCCGTTCCCGTTCCCGGCCGCGCGCGCCATTCGGGGGTTCCCGTCCCGGTGACGCGCGCGGGGGGCGGGCTCGGCCCCGCCCTCTATGCAAATAAGACCACGCCCCCTCCCCATCCCCGCGCGCGGCCGGGGCGCGCCCCTCCGCGTGACGTCACCGCCGGGCGGCCCGGCGAAAGGGCGCGCCGGCGCGCGCGGGGGGCGGGGCGGGTCCGGGGGGGCGTGTCCGGGGCGGGGCGGCGGCGGCGGCGATTGGCGGGCGGCGCTGACGCGCGGTGACGCGCGGGGCTCGCGGCGCGCGTTGGCCGCCGGCGGCCGCGGCCACATAAACAAAGGCACATTGCGGGCGGGCACAGTCCGGCCGCCCGCGCCGCCGCCGCCGCTCCGCCGCTGCCTGCGCTGCTCCCGGTGAGTGCCCGCCGCTCCGCCTCCCGCCGCCCCTCCCGCCAAGGCTCCCGCGCGCGAGCCGCCGCGCGCGCCCCGTCCCGTTCGGTCCCGTCCCGCCCCGTCCCGTCCCGTTCGGTCCCGTCCCCGCTGCTGGCGGTCCGCCCGGGCTGCCTGTCACCCGCGCCCCGCTCCGGTGCCGGCACCGCCGCGCCGGGAACCCCCCGCCTCGCCCGCGCTCCCGAGGGACGCGCCGCGGTTTCCCGGAGGGCGTGGAGAAGGGAACCGAGCAGCCGGTGCCCGTGACAGCCCGCCCGCGGGGAGCCTCCCGCCCCGTTAGTGAGAAAAGAGCCCCAGCCCAGCCCGAACGGGCTCCGCGAGGGGCGCGGGGCGGCCCTGTCCCGGCACCGCTCCCCCAAAGCCGGCTCCGCGCCGGCGGCTCCGTGTGTCTGTCGGTCCCCGCTCGGGCGGCTCCGTGTGTCTGTCGGTCCCCGCTCGGGCGGCTCCGTGTGTCTGTCTGTCCGCGATCAGGCGGCTCCGTGTGTCTGTCCGCGATCAGGCGGTTCCGTGTGTCGGTCCCCACGCTGGCGGCTCCGTGTGTCAGTCCCTCCACCGGCGCGTCCGTGTGTCAGTTCCCGCCGGGGCTGCCTGACCGGCGGCTCCGTGTGCCTGTTCCCCGCCCCAGGTCCGTGTGTCTGTCCCTGCACCAGCCGCCCCTGCTGACCGATCGGCGGGTCCGTGTGTCGCTGTGTCCGTCCCCTCACTGACCGGTCCGTGTGTCGGTCCGCGTGCCGGTCCGTGTATCGCTGTGTCCGTCCCCTCATTGACCGGTCCGTGTGCCGGTCCGTGTGTCGGTCCGTGTGTCGGTCCGTGTGCCGGTCCGTGTGTCGCTGTGTCCGTCCCCTCACTGTCCGGTCCGTGTGTCGGTCTGTGTGTCTTTCTGCTCACCGGCCGGTCCGTGTGTCGGTCCGTGTGTCGGTCCGTGTGTCGGTCCGTGTGTCGGTCCGTGTGTCGGTGTGTTCGTCCCCTCACCGGCCGGTCCGTGTGTCGCTCCGTGTGTCCGGCCGCTCACCGGCCGCTCCGTGTGTCCCTCGCAGCCGTCGCACCGGGCAGGCTGGAGCCGCCGCCGCGCTCTGACCCCGCGGACACCTCGCTCCCCGCCGCGCTCCGACGCTGTCCGCCCTCGGCTGCCCCGCAAACGCCGCTCCCTCGGCTGAAGGTTGGTGCTGCTCCGTCCCCGCGGCTCCGCGGCCCCGGCGGGCCGGGGGGTGCCGGTGCCGGGCCCCGCAGC